GTGCTTTCTGTCAGTTTATTAAAGTGCACATATGTGATACATGACAGAAACGCGATCTTACTTTGTATTTAAAGGGTTAGTTCACACTAATAATAAAATATTTGACTCTCTCTTAAACCTTTAAATGTTTTGTAATTTTGAAAAATGCTGGTTTGCTGGGAACCATCGACTTCCATAGTTAGAAAAACAAAACACTAATTGTTCCCCAAATAGGTTTTTTTAATGAGTGAAGGATGAGCACATGAATGTCCGTTTTTGGGTGAACTATCAAGACTATATAAAAAATATTTTACAGAAAGAGAAAAGGAAATAATATAATATACATTTGTAATATATAAACTTTGTAAAAAAAATTCTGGTGCAGTAAAAGGGCTACAATCAAAAATCTGGAGAGAATATATATTATAGCCTTATTTTTTTAGCATTTATTTAACAAGACAATCAACAAATACACTGTGACAAAAGAAGCTGGGGTGCCGAAAAAAAATAATAATAAAAAAGTATAATAACGGCTGTAAAATGTAAAATTACAGATTGTTTTTCTTACAGCATATTCATATTGCAAGTTAGATACCTAACTATTCATATAGTAAGTTTGACACCTAGTGGTTGAACTAGGTATTGCACTCCTGGTACAAAACGCAAGCGCAGGTTGATTGATGACATCAACAGGATCAGGCTTGACTATCGACCCTAAAGGCTGATTTAAACTGTGTTCTAAATAAAAGCAACAAGTTTTTGTTCGAACCAACACCTGAAATTTATCTGTTAGAAACGATTTCTATTTTTTGCAACTGAACAACAGAAAACTGACAATAAACTCATGTTCTTTATTCAGTGTTAAATGCTAATAATGGGAGTTTGAATGCCTTTTTAAATTTTTACATATTTAATGCCACACAACGAAAGCAGCTACAGAAATTCACCTCAGATCTTAAAAAAAAAAAAAAAAAAAATTTAAATTAAACTTTATTCCCAGAGATGGGTTGCAGCTGGAAGGGCATCCACTGTGTAAAAACGAGCTGGATAAGATGGCGGTTCATTCCGCTGTGGTGACCCAGAATTAATAAAGGGACTAAACTGAAAAGAAAATGAATGAATGAATAAAATTGAACTTTAGAACTGAAACTGGGTGCAAGCAAACACATATCAATGATTAAGTATGTTCATTCAATAATGTTAAAGGTTTATTATGTATTTATTAGATTATAAACCTTAAAATTTCGTTGGAGTGCAGTAAGTGCACTATTCTGTGCTTCTCAATGGCTGTATTCAAATTTCTATCATGTTTCATCTGGTGCAAACGGCCAAATTACTTATCATTGCAAATCTCATCAAGTAGCATGTTGTTAGGACACAGGGTTACAATGTAACCTGCTCACGTTTGTAATATTTATATTGTTTGCTAATTAATAACCACCTCAAGGAACTCTGAATCTGCGTCTCATTTTGGAATCTGTTACTTTTCCACGGAGGTCACATTTTGGTTACGGACGCACGCTTTGAGAGCCTTCCTGACTAAATGAAATAGGCTGTTTTCCACCAAGTAAACTCAGGGTTCAGAAAAATAACTGGGTAATGACCAAAACAAAGACACGTTCTGGCACGTATTGCACATTTTCAAAGTAGAATATCTGACTTCAGCATTGTTTTTCAGATAAACACGAATATTCACTTAGCATGTTGCTTAAATATATTAAAAAGACATGTGTTATGTTTATGCTTTAAAAGAGTCCAAAACTAACAAACAGCACTCCTAATACCATCAAACAAATAGATTTATTGTTGAAGTCTTGTAAACAGGATTTGCTTTCATTGGCAGGTTATTAGTTTGCATATAAACTGGAATGATGGGTTATTTCAATTAGCTGATTTTTATAAATGATCAGTGTGCATTTAAACATGCTCATATAGCACTGACAAACTGAAGGTTGCCAGTATGAAATGCTTCTATTTTGTATCAATATGGCAAAGGTGTGCCTGTATTTCTAATGGTCTGGTCCATTCAGAGAGGCACATTTTCTGGGAAAGCACTGCCATGATTGATGTCCCTCAGAGACTTGTGGGCCCCTAAATATTACAGAGCGCAACTGGCTCATGAATACACGCCGTTATAATTCAACAGTGTGAAAAGTAATAAAACTGCTCAGGCATTTATGGCTGCAGAGCCTGGGCTCCTAATGGCTTTTTGGAGGGGCTAAAAAAAAATTTGCATGCATATTACAAAACACTGATTCTGTTTCATGTGTACAGAGATATGTACATATATACAACCATGTTTGTTATATATACTGTATATATATATATATATATATATATATATATATATATATATATATATATATATATATATATACATATACACTGTATGTATGTATATATATATATATATATATATATACTGTATGTATATATATATATATATATATATATATATATATATATATATATATATATATATATATACATCGTGACAACTTGATGTGCAAGGTTGAATTTCTAAAGCATATAAATAACAATAATGTATGTTTGTTTGAAGCCAGAGCAGAAGTATTATTGTATTAAAGGAACGGTACAATCAGAAATGACATTGTTTGTGTCATCATCACAACACAATCCTTTTTTTCATCTGATATACATTTATGCATTTGGAAAATACTTCAGGGATCAAAACTTTGAAGTGGTCAGAACACAAATGAATCGGAGGTAATAAAGTATTAAGCATTTCTCCTAAAGAAAAACTCATTAAGCAAATTGCTAACAGGCTCCGCCCACACCCCGCCTCTTTGTAAATTGTTTTATACCCGCAGTCGGCACAATGACGCATGAACAAAATCGTGAGATTGACCACGCCCACTTGTAGCTTAATTTGCACTCTTCAGAAACCTTTGTGTGACGTCATGGATACTACGATCATATTTTTACAGTCCATGGGTAAAACCAGTGTGTGTTAAGGAAACACTCCACTTTCAAAAAAAAAAAAGATTTGCAACTTTTGGAAAAAACTGTACAACTCCCCTAGAGTTAAACCGTTGAATTTTACCAATTTTGAATCCATTCAGTCGATCTCAAGCACAAGAATATTATGCAGCACCTAAAAACAGTCCCCAGCTAGGTAACAGTTCTGTGTAATATCATTGTGTCAGCTGCAGCCATAGCACAGCAGCAAAGTTCCCAGATTATTACGCCGGAATGAGAGTTTAGTTCCTAGCCATATCAGCCTAGAACAGAGATGCCCAAACTAGGGCCTGCAGGCCAACGTGGCCCTTTGTATCCTTTGATTTGTATCCAATGATTGGGAAGGGTTGGAAAATGCCTGTAACAGAAATTCTTATTTATATTTTAATGTAACATTTTGTTTGTTTGTTTTATTGTTGAGCTACAAAAAAAGCAAACTGATTTTTTTAAAGAATGTACATACTGTCACGAAGAGGGGTTAAAACAGAAGACATCAGCTCGAAATTCAAGGCAAAGGCAGGGTTAGCATGACTAGTGTATTCGGCATTGAACTCCATTGTTTTATAAATAGATTTCTTTTTTGGTTTTATTGTAATAAGTTTGTTAAAATAACCCTTACAGAAAAGTCACATGAATTTCACATGTGATCACATGTGACCACATGTGATCACATGTGACAACATGTGATCACACATGACCACATGTGAAGTTTATGTGACCACATGTGGACAACATGTGAAGTTCATGTGGCCACATGTGAAGTTTATGTGATCACACATGGCCACATGTAAAGTTTATGTGACCACAGGTGGACAACATGTGAAGTTCATGTGGCCACATGTGAAGTTCGTGTGGCCATATTTGAAGTTCATGTTACCACATGTGAAGTTAATGTGACCACATGTGAAGCTCACGAATACATGTGTTCATGTGACCACATGTGAAGTTTATGTGACCACATGTGAAGCTCACGACCACATGTGTTCATGTGACCACATGTGAAGTTTATGTGACCACGTGGACAACATGTGAAATTCATGTGGCCACATGTGAAGTTCGTGTGGCCATATTTGAAGTTCATGTTACCACATGTGAAGTTAATGTGACCACATGTGAAGCTCACGATTACATGTGTTCATGTGACCACATGTGAAGTTTATGTGACCACATGTGAAGCTCACGACCACATGTGTTCATGTGACCACATGTGAAGTTTATGTGACCACGTGGACAACATGTGAAATTCATGTGGCCACATGTGGACAACATGTGAAGTTCATAGGGCCACATGTGATCACCTTTGACCACATCTGAAGTCAATGTGACCAAATGTGGACAACATGTAAAATTATGCTGTCCACATGTGGACAGCATAATGATCACATGAACCCACATGTGAAAAACATCATCATCTGAAAACCATATTTCATGATGACCAACACTATACCGTGAATAAGTGCAAAACTGCAGTATAACAGCATTATAAAGGAGGATAAATGAGGTAAAATTATGTGCAACTGCAAAATAATGAACTATAAAATTCTAATAAAATTACATCAACAACAGTACAATTTGCAGTATATTCATGTACAACTTTACTACACTTGTGCATTGTGCTGAGATATAATCTAATATCCAATTTCCCAATGCTGTGGCAATGCTGTGCTGTACTTGCTACATGTTTTTGTACTTTTATTCAGGGATGTTTTGGAAACAAGTAACTTAAATAGAATTTGAAGAGTTTATTTGCAATGATAATTCTGTTTTAGTAATTTTTAAATATAAAGTTTTATGTTGTTTCTTGGGTTCAAAAAACATGATTTATAAAAAGTAAAAATGTAATGAGATTTAATATTGTGTACATGAGTACAATGGCAAAAAATAAATGGATTTCTGAATCAGTCTGTAGGGAATTGAGAGTTGACTTCAAAAGAGTCGATTCCTCGACCCTCAATGGACGTAGTGCCGGAGTCGACTCCAAGACAGGATTCGATTCCTAGAGTCGAGTCTTTTTTTAACCCTTTTAAATGAAGCAGTTACAAGCTACAGTAACTTATACTACTCTTTCTCGAGCACGAAGAAGACAGAAGGCGCTCGCTTTAAATGCGTACTCACACATTTTGCGATTTTGCTTTTGAATTATGCGACCACGAGGCACTCTTACGCAACTGGGGTGAACTTGCGCGCGCGTTCATCACAGAAGAGCATTCGCGGCAACGCGCGCGTTGTCCTGACAACAAGGATTCACAAACAAACGCAGTTTCTTAACGGTCGTTTAGCAATCTTTTGTCCGTTTTGTCTCCTTATTTCGGTCGCGAAATGAAGATAAAATACGTGTTTGTTGATATATTAACTGTAAATGCCATTCACATATGAACACTAACGTACCACAGTTAAAATAAAAAGTCACGGTCAAAGGACAAAAGAGAGGGCTACGTTTTTTTGAGAAGCTGGACCATTTTGACCTTATCATCTTCAGCTGTATAATTCAGCGGTAAGTGCATATTCATATACTGTCCTCACAACTTTATAATTTAGGATGTGTAGAGAAACTTAACGTAACCTTAACAGTTGGTTCTGCAAGTACAACAACAAAAAAGAGAATATGTTCAGAATATTTGACCAAGCCAGTGATACCAGTCAAACGCGCGCCAAAAGATATCCGAGCTCATTCACTTGCTTAAAACACTGCAAATGTTGTAATTGATGCAACTGTATTAGTGATGTATTAATTTGTATTAATCCAGAATTCTCTTTTAACACATTAACTAAAATTTAATTGAATAGGGTTTTATAAACCTGATCTAAATGACTATTGTGCTTGGTTTTAAATTGAAATGTCCTAAATGTAAATAATGGAATAGATACAATAATAGATATTAAGGTAAGCAGAAGCTACTTGTTTATTTTATGTATTTCATTTCAAAAGTACTTAATAACAGTTCTGTAGATCTGTCATTATTTTAAAGGCTTGTCCATCCTTTCCAGAAACATTGGTTTATATTTTGTTTAACTTATCTTTTTATTGAGATACACTAGCATTTAAAAGTTTTAGATGGTAAGATTATTTAAACAATATTGAAAGACGTGTGGCTGCATGTACTTTCTTTAAAATACACTAAAACCAATTTTTAAAATTGATTTATAATACGTTTCACAATGTAAAGTTAATTTCTAATTTATTGTAAAACTTCATTTATCCCTGTGATACAAAACTTTAATTCAATCTTCATTATTGCATGTTAACTTAATCTTACTTTTTATGAAGATTATAGCATACAGGATTAATATGTGTAAGATGTTAATGAACATAGATATGATATCATTTTTAGTTTTGTCTGACTCTCTTTTCTTTCTCTCTCTCTCTCTCTCTCTCTCTTTCTCTCTCTCTACTTGTATTAATAAAGTTTTAAGATTAGATATTATAGACTAATATTGGTGTTACAAAAATCTGTCACAGTGGTTGATTGTTTCTCTTTGCTTTTTGTACAGAAATCAATGATGTGCAGGGGTTTAAAAAGTACAGCTTGGGAAATATAAAGATGATGGTTATTTTAAAGAAGAAGCCTGACACATTGGAGACTTAACCATCTTCAAAGGACAATGCTACAATTCAAGGAAGTCGACAGTTGTCTCAATTATACAGTTTTGCCTTTTTTTTTTTTGTACCATAGTCTAAGTTTGTATTTTGATTGCCTAGAAGGTATTTCTTATTAAAGAAAAAAAAAAAAAAAAAAAAATATATATATATATATATATATATATATATATATTTATATATTATTAAAGCAAAATCTTTTACTAGCCACTAGTTGTACCTTCTTAGTCTACAGATTCCTTATAGGTACTTTGTTTTATAGCAGTTAACAGTCTGTGACTGCAGGGTGATTCAAAAAGAATAACACAACTTTGAAAATCTGTATTTAATCAAAGAAACATGATGACAACAGCTCTCCTAGCGACCTAATGAGTAACCAAATGAAACTTCAGAGCTTCCTTAAATCGACGACAGAAAGAGCTTAGCTCCCCTTTTCTTCTTTGCAGAGTTTTCGATTTTCAAATTTGTGGGATTCCTTTTGAATCACCCTGTATACAGTTTTTTCTGTTTTTAACATCTGATGTTTCCTGATAGGTAATCGTTTACATCACTTTGGGAGAGGGAGTGAAAACGGGCAGTCAATCAGTGTCTGAAAAGAGAAAATACACCCAATACAGAGGCTAGTAAGGAGCACTTCCATTGCACAAAGTTAATGTCTTAACAGGTAACTTTTATAGCGTTTGCTATCTCTAATGCGTAGAGATGGCAAATGTACATGCATCCTTTACTCAAGTAGAAGTACAGATACTCTGGTAAAAGTTGAACTACGGACTAGACTTTTCTACTCAAGTAAAAGTAAATAAGTACAGCCTGAAATATGTACTTAAGTAAAAAGTATTCATTACTAATATCTGTTTTAGTTTCATGGTGGTAACTACACCTCACAAAATGCATACATTTATACAAAATTACTTACATTTCAAATTTTTTTTTTTGTAAAAAAAGTTGTTGCCAATTTTTAGCTGCAAAGTAGCCAAGCAACATCATCCTACAGGGCTTGAAATTGCGACTGTTTTGGTCGCATATGCGCCCAAAGTTTTATCTTTGCGACCTCAAAATGTATTTGGCAGCATTTATGCGAGTGCATAAAATTGTTGTTTTCACAGAAAAATGTTCACCACATGCGCGGAATTAGGAGGCATTCACGCAAGCATCTTTACACCTAAAAACACCAAACGCAGCACTAAAGAATAGTTTATAACAGTTAACACGTCAACTTGCTGCACTAAGCAAAGCCCGTCTTCAAGCTTTTTTTATTGGCCAATTGCGCTAGAACAGAATGCGAATGGATTGGTTAATATCAGCTGTCAATCACTCATTTCCGATGACAGGGAGCTACAGCTGCAAAAATGCAAAGGTCTGGATAAGAGAGAATGAAAACAACACTGATAGATTTAGTTTTAGAAACCATCTACAGTTACAAATCATGGCACATCTGATTAGTCATTATGTGGAGAATGTCAATCCAGCATTTACACTTTTCGAAGAGTCGATAAAAGACATCTAGTGCTCAAAGTCCGCTTTGAAAATGATTATAGCATTCACTGTAAAACTGGTGGGATGGAGTTTTTAGGTAACAGTGTTTGCCACTTAATCTACACATTTTAAGCACGAGATGTTCTAACGTGAAGTTTATTTGTTCTCCCTGTATTCGTGTGGGTTTCCTTCGGGTGCTCCGTTTTCCCCCACAGTCCAAAGATATGCAGTATAGGTGAATTGGGCAGGCTAAATTGTCCGTAGTGTATTCGTGTGATTGGGTGTGTATGAATGTTTTCCAGAGATGGGTTGCAGCTGGAAGGGCATCTGCTGCGTAAAACAGATGCTGGATAAGTTGGCGACTCCGAATTAAAAAAGGGACTAAGCCGGAAAAAAATGAATGAATGTTCAACCGTTATTTAATCCTTTATTTAATCATCACAATGCTGTTAATCGTGCGACTGATACTGCAGTCACCATCGCTAAAGAGCATGCATTCACTGAGATGAAACTAATATTGCAGTTCATGAAAAGACCGTTATATATTAGGGTGACGTATGCAAATAATAAGTTATATGTCAATAGCATCTGTGCAGTATCAGACACCACCCATAAGAACAGCACAGTTATTATAGTTAATTCAGTTCATCTCATTCACGTCAAGCAGTGCATGCAGGGCCAGTGAGCGCATGCAGATTTTTGTTTATTTGTTAGTTGTGATTAGAGTGGTAATATATATTGGAATCTGTTAACATAAAACGTTTAGTAACGGTGCTCATATTTGTCAGTGGGTGCGACTAAATTTTGTCTGGTGCATCCAAATTTTTGAAGTTAGGAGCACCGGTGCTACCAAGAAAAAAAGGTTAATTTCGAGCCCTGTGTATCATCAGCTGAACACAAAACACTATAGCTGTTAAGAACAGCAGCTGTCATACTTGTTTGTATACTCTTGAATATAATTCTGTAGGCCTATATATTTATAACTAATAAATGTCTTAAATTTAAAACCTAATTTTTTTTCAAAACATATTTCAGTTTTTTTCTTTTGATAAAATAAAAAAACTAAATGTATTTGACTACATATTTTTTGCATTATACTAAAGCTACGTCTGCTCCACAAAGCACATTAAAGCGAAAGTAACGAGCCTGATTTAAAAATGTAAGGAGTAGATTTGTATTCAAATGTAAGAAGTAAAAGAAAAATATTTCAGAAAACGTTAACAGTGGAGTATAATACTGACACTAGACATATCTACTTAAGTAAAGTAACAAAGTTTGTACTTCAGTACTACCTATTTCTGCTAATGTGAAAAAATGTGATCTAAATACTATGAATTCATTTTGCATTCACGTGTATGCATTTGAGCATTTGGTAGTTTCTTTTATTAAAAATAAGTTTTGTATTTTTTTCTTACAGATTACAAGATCAAGTCATTAACATGAACCAAAAGGACAAACTCGTCAAAAGCAAAACTCACTTTCCCTTGGCTTTTCTTTCCCTTTTCATCACGGGTCATCACAGCAGAATGAACTAGCAATTACTGTGGTACATGCTTTTTTCACCAGATGCTCTCATATGCAGAATTGACCAGAGCACCCGAAGGAAACCCACGCAAACATGGGGTGAACATGCAAACTCCACACCTGGCACACCTGAGACTCGAACCAGTGACCTTCTTGCTTTGAGGCAACAGTGATGACCACAGAGCTACCATGTGGCCCCTTTTGTATTCACATTATATTAGTGACAGTTTTCCCCTCAAGGTATTTCAGTAAATAATTGTTGTGATTTTATATAATTGACAATAAATTGTTTGTATTTATATTTAAGTTTAAGAATAATTTTTGTTCACACTAATGCACAAATTTTATTGTGTGAAGTACACAAGAGAAAAGCCACAAGAGATTTTTACATGGGAACGCATGTTTCAATGCTCACCATCAAAATTCTAAATACAAACATTTTCCCATGTGATCACTTGTGAATGCACATGTAGTTCACATGTGAATTCACACAAAAACGTTAAAATTCACAGGTTTTCCCATGTGATCACATGTGGTTCACATGAAAATTCACACGAAATCGTTCCAAATACACACGTTTTCCCATGTGATCACATGTGAATTCACACAAAAGCGTTCCAAATACACACGTTTTCCCATGTGATCACATCTGAATTCACACAAAAGCGTTCCAAATACACACGTTTTCCCATGTGATCACATGTGGTTCACATGAAAATTCACACGAAATCGTTCCAAATACACACGTTTTCCCATGTGATCACATGTGAATTCACACAAAAGCGTTCCAAATACACACGTTTTCCCATGTGATCACATGTGGTTCACATGAAAATTCACACGAAATCGTTCCAAATACACACGTTTTCCCATGTGATCACATGTGGTTCACATGAAAAGTCACACGAAATCGTTCCAAATACACACGTTTTCCCATGTGATCACATGTGGTTCACATGAAAATTCACACGATATCGTTCCAAATACACACGTTTTCCCATGTGATCACATGTGAATTCACAAGAAAGCGTTCCAAATACACACGTTTTCCCATGTGATCACATGTGGTTCACATGAAAATTCACACGAAAGCGTTCCAAATACACAGGTTTTCCCATGTGATCACATGTGGTTCACATGAAAAGTCACACGATATCGTTCCAAATACACACGTTTTCCCATGTGATCACATGTGAATTCACAAGAAAGCGTTCCAAATACACACGTTTTCCCATGTGATCACATGTGGTTCACATGAAAATTCACACGAAAGCGTTCCAAATACACAGGTTTTCCCATGTGATCACATGTGGTTCACATGAAAAGTCACACGAAATCGTTCCAAATACACACGTTTTCCCATGTGATCACATGTGGTTCACATGAAAATTCACACGATATCGTTCCAAATACACACGTTTTCCCATGTGATCACATGTGAATTCACAAGAAAGCGTTCCAAATACACACGTTTTCCCATGTGATCACATGTAAATTAACACGAAAGCGTTCCAAATACACACGTTTTCCCATGTGATCACATGTAAATTCACACGAAAGCGTTCCAAATACACACGTTTTCCCATGTGATCACATGTGAATTAACACAAAGCGTTCCAAATACACACGTTTTCCCATGTGATCACATGTGAATTCACACGAAAGCGTTCCAAACACACACGTTTTCCCATGTGATCACATGTGAATTCACACGAAAGCGTTCCAAATACACACGTTTTCCCATGTGATCACATGTGGTTCACATGAAAATTCACACGAAATCGTTCCAAATACACACGTTTTCCCATGTGATCACATGTGAATTCACACAAAAGCGTTCCAAATACACACGTTTTCCCATGTGATCACATGTGAATTCACACGAAAGCGTTCCAAATACACGCCTTTTCCCATGTGATCACATGTGGTTCACATGAAAATTCACACAAAATCGTTCCAAATACACACGTTTTCCCATGTGATCACATGTGAATTCACACAAAAGCGTTCCAAATACACACGTTTTCCCATGTGATCACATGTGGTTCACATGAATATTCACACAAAGTCGTTCCAAATACACACGTTTTCCCATGTGATCACATGTGAATTCACACAAAAGCGTTCCAAATACACACATTTTCCCATGTGATCACATGTGATCCCATGTGCATTTCACATGTGGTTTGTGTGTTTCACATGTAAAATTTCACATGTGCAATTTCACATGCACATGTGATCACATGTGAATTTCACATGTGAAACTCATGTGAAATTTCTGTAAGGGAATATACATTTTCAAAAAGTATTTGCATAAGTTAATATTGTTGAAGTATATATTTATGAGATAAATTAGGAAATGACCCATGGCAACTTAAATGTAATACAGTTTGCTATTTATTTTCGGCCCACAGCTCTCAATCAAGCTTGGCTTTTGGCCCTTCATAAGAAAAAGTTGGGGCACCCCTGGCCTAGAAAATAGCAACTTTTCACTTTCCTTCTGTCTTTGTACAAGATTTATATAGAAAAATAATCTAGACTCTTATTTGACTTTTTGAGAGAGATGCTAATGGTCTAATCCGATTCAATGATCTATGCTAAGCTAAGCTAAGCTAAAAGTGCTCCATGCAGCCAGACAAAAAGACTGGGTGAATGGATTTAAAAATGCTAATACTTAACTGCTTAAATGTTAGGTGACATGTAAATTTCCCAAAAGGTGGAGTGCGCCATTGAAGCAACACATGTTTTGTTGTGTTTGGTGTTTTAAAATCAATATTGTTTACAGAGTAATAGGCCTTAAAATGATGTCCAAATAAAAGATTCTCTCTTTTATTGTTTGCGATCAATCTGCAAATCACATGCAGTCTGAATTCCCTGTTTAGCAATGATCCCCACTAGACAAATGGGACTATTGTAGATGTGCACATTATCATCTCAATGCTGTAATTATATATTAAGCAGCCCTATTTAAAATGATCCTATGCAAAGAAAATTGAAGAAATTATACTATATTCAAGCTTACTCCAATTGAGCACACTTTTGAACTAAAAGAATTTTTTGTTTTGTTTGTTTTGTATAAAAATATTTCTCGTAAAATAAATGTATGATTTAAATCACTCGCCTCTTTAAATCCCTATAACACATTTGCAACAAAGCTGTCCCACTCTATGTTAACAGGTTATTAATAAAACCTGTTTCTTTGCAGATGTATTGTCAGTAGGGCTGCACAACATTGTTTCAGCATTGATATCGCAATGTGCACATAATAGTCACATGGCAAAGATATGCAATGTTGGGTCTGGATTATAGTTGACCAGTAGCAGCACAATTGTATTTAATCGCTGTATATATTTATACAGAATTTTTATAATTTATGCCAAAAAAATCTTACTTAGAATGTCTTGTTTCTAGTCTAAATGTTTACATTTCAATGAAAAAAAAATTTTTCACTTTCCCCACTGGCAGATAAATAATTTAGCTTGTTTTAGGGAAAACTCTTCACTTTTATTCATTTCTTCTGACAGTGAAAAACAATACAATATTTTTACTTGCTCTAAGAATTTGGAGATATTTAAACTGGAAATGAGACAAAACAAAGTAAGAAAAGCATTTTTTTGTATTGTGATTATTAAATTTCTGTACCTGAGTACTGTTAGACTCCCTAGAAGACCATCAAATAGTGCAATTCCAACCATCGTGTGAAACAGTATTCATATCGCAATAATTATCACAGAAAAATAAAATCTTGCAAAATCTGATTTTTCCCAATATCGTGCAGTCCTAATTGTCAGTATTGTACATTCAGTTCACAATAGTAAGCTTCTTTACAGTCTGTTCATCAGCCACTGCCAGAAACCAAAATCTTGTCATATGGATTATGGATATTGTAACAGTAAACTAGCATGAATCCTTGCAAACATCAGACTTTATCTCCTTCCATATAAATGGCCACAATCTTCAACATATTCAAACAATGCCAGTCTACATGACCAAAAGAATTTCCTGCCTTAAAATGACCAAACAGAACAAATGACATGCTTTAATGTCATATAAAGACTTGTGCCAGACAGCTTTCAATACATGCCGCACACTTATTATTCTGACAGTGAAACTCATATTTCATACATTACCCTGGCATACACATAAAAACTGATTGCTTTCATTTCATGTATACCCTGATCTAAATCCACTGTACATTATGAAAATAATCTCACTGAGAGAAAAAAACACAAGGTCAATAATGACAGAGTTTTCATTAATGTGGATCAATTTCTCAGTTAACACTGTTCTAGAAGATATACAGAACAGAGGTCATCCAAAAAGTTTCATATCTAATTTAGATTGTGTGATGTTGCTGTCAGATTGCATGTTTTCTCACTCCTCTGCCATGCCAACAACACTTAATTGCCTGCACCTCAATGGCCACACTGAGGAAATCTCTCCGTGGCTCTTTGACATCTCAGCTGGATGGCTGTTCATCACCTGCGGTCTTGGCAAGGCCGAGAACCTAAATTCTAACTTTTTCGATCCCTGTTGAAGGTCAATGTCTTTCCTCCTCCTCGTTCTGTCTCGCAGCGCATCTAAAACCTTGGAGTCACGCTGGATTGCACCGCAGAAACTGCCTGATTGAGCAGTCTGATTCATTCCGTCTTTCATAAGGCTTTCTCCGGCTTTAGTCATCGTCAACTGCATTACAGAAAATGACTCCTTTTTGCTTTGACTTTACCAGCAATGTGACCTTTTAAAGGAATAACTCACACAGGACTAAACATGAAAGACTTTCTTGCCTCTATGAAAAACAAAAGGAGGCATTTTGAAAAATGTCCATGCTGTTCTTTTCTACTTCAATGTCATAAGTGAATGGGCACAAATTTTGTAAGGGTATACAGTTGGTTATTTCAGAGAGACTAGCGGTTATTAAAGCTAAAGATCCTACCCACCTCGGATATTCAACGTCCAATCAGACGTAGACCTCATACTAGAAGTGACTAGCCTGAGGTCCATTACTTGTCCATTACTTCCTGTGTCATTCACCAGTGAGAAAACATTACAGTTCAGCACATAACCTAACAGTAATACCACAACAATAAGGGCGAGTGTCCACCAAAGCATTTTATTCAGAGGCATGTGCATTTCTTCCTGTTGTTTTCAAAGTACGCAATAAGAATTTTGAGAGTGCCAGCAGCGTGACGAGATACTGCGAGCCCGCCGTTTTTTAAATGCGCTGGGAGTTGGAGAATGTTCAACTTAATCCAAAGATTACAGAGTTCACAGAGACTTTGGTTAAACTGCAGAAAAGCTCTCAAGAGTTTAGCTGGGGGAGTGTAGACATTGTCAGCCTGCATAGTGGAAATGCACTGATGACGTGACTTGTTTGAGCAAACAGCTTTGCAAATCTACATCTTGACAGACAGGTAGGACAGCCTATCATTATGCTGGGATAAAACAATTTGATTGGACAAAGTTTTTTTGGTCCTAGAACTTTCACAGATTACATAAATACATATACAGTAGAAGTCAGAATTATTAACCCTCTTAAATTATTCTTGCCTCATCTGTAAACAAATATTATTAATGTAAATAATAATTAGAATGTAATGGAAAATATGCTGTCTTAAGGCATCACTGGTGCTGTTTCCGATCATCGTTAATGCAGTGCAAAGTAAGGCTCAAGAATGGGTTTGAAAACGATTACATAGTCTGAATGTCAATTTCGATTACTTTTTGATTCATCGCCCAGCCCTGCTAAAAATATTGACCTTATACCGGTTTTTAAAAATTAAAACAGCTTTTATTTTAGTCAAAATGAAACAAAAATGACAGAATGATTTTTTCTCCAGAAGAAAAAATATTATCAGACATACTGTGGAAAATTCCTGTTAAACATCATTTGGGAAATAATTGAAAAAGAAAAGAAATTCACATAAGGGCTAATCATTTTGACTTCAACTGAAAGTCACACATTTAGACCACTTAACTTAATGAAGTGCTGTCCAGATGTGAAGAGACTTTCAGACAGCATTACAAAAGTGTTTTTTGAACCAAATCACTTACACCTTAAGCTTATAAAGACCAGGACACACCAAGCCGACAGTCACCTTAAATAAGTATGTTTAGCGTACATTTTTAAGTCATGCTAAAAGGAGCAGTGTGAACATTCTTTAAAGCATCCACTTTTATCCCATTCAGAATAAAACACTAGGTTAAATTATATAAAAGTGTGTATATAATGATGGAATGTTTATGATGCTACCATTAGAGGACTTACAGTAAATGTAAATAAGCAGCGTAAAACATTCTTCCAAATATCTTTTTTACTATGCTCTGTATAATAAAAAAAGCCTTACAGGTATGCAATTTCTGTATTTTTTAGGTGATTTGACAGAAACTATATGCACATTTGTGGTACTTTTAAAGGTTATATGTAAATGAGCAGCATAAATATTCTTCCAAATATATTCTTTTTGATTATGTTCTGCATAAAAAGCCATACAGGCTCGTAATTTTTAGGTGATTTGGCAGAAACTTTATGCACGTTTGTGGTACTTTTAGAAGTTATACGTAAATGAGCAACATAAACATTCCTCCAAATATCTTTTTTATTACGTTCTGTATAAAAAAAGCCATAAAGGTTTGTAATTTTTGTAACTCTTAGGTGATTTGACACAAACTATATGCATGTTTGTGGTACTTTTAGAAGCTATATGTAAATGAGCAGCGTAAACATTCTTCCAAATATCTTTTTTTATTATGTTCTATATAATAAAAAAAAAACTATATAGGTTTGTAATTTTTATAATTTTTGAGTGAACTGACAAAAACTATATGCTTGTTCGTGGTACTTTTAGAAGTTATATGTAAAATGAGCAGCATGAACATTTTTCGATATGTTTTACAAAATAAAAAAAGTCGTAAAGTATTAGAACTGTATGAAGGAGTGTGATCATTGCATAGTGGTCACTAACTGAACTCCTATGCCTTTGCACAAGTGACTCAAGGGGGAATAAAACTACTAATCTCATTTCCTCTTCAATCTGACCACACACACACACACACACACACACACACACACACACACACACACACACTATTAACTAATAACACTTTCCCCATTCTGCCAAAAGCACTAGTACTACGATCTTGTTGGCACTATGTACTTATTGGCAGTACAAGCTTATTGGCGCTCCTTGGCCTTATCTAAGTGCTTGATTTATATGTTTTGCTATTAACGCAAGTATCGGTCAAAACCAGTAAATCCAGCATGGCATGACAGCTTCAGCCAAAAAAACCCTTTCTCATTAGCTGGTCTTTTGTGCTTGTGAATTTACCCAAAGCTCTTCTTTATGCTAAAGCTTTTCTTGACCATTTGGACAAACTTAAAATAAGAATCATCAATATCCCCCTCAAAAAAATCACTTCAGTGTAATGTGTTCAATTCTGAATGTAAAATGTGCAAGAAGGTTTAAATAATTAGCCTCTAATTAATGTTAAATTAAAAACCCAGGAAATAAACTTGCTCTCTGAAAGGTTTGCAAATCAGTGTGAATCTGACACTGCCCTCAATGATGAAATCTTCAGTGATGAAATCTGTTCGTCCCACAAGACATTAACAATGATATTTCCCTATTGGACGATCTACACCTGGTTTCTTTCATAATAAGCTTGTCTAAATCAACTTGAATGAGATTTTTGTGTCTGTATGAAAGATTATCTAAATAATAATAAATAAATTGCTAATGTATTTTTTATGACAGGAACAGGTAATAAAATATAATGTAATGTAATATATTATGATGTGATATATAATATAATATAATATAATATAATATAATATAATAAATATAATATAATATAATATAATATAATATAATATAATATAATATAATATAATATAATATAATATAATATAATAAAATATAATATAATATAATATAATACAATATATTATAATGTGATATATAATAAAATATAATATAATATAATATAATATAATTTCATTTGATATGATATGATATGATATAATATAATATAATATAATAAAATATAATATAATACAATATATTATGATGTGATATATAATATAATATAATATAATATAATATAATATAATATAATATAATATAATATAATTTCATTTGATATAATATAATTTCATTTGATATAATAAAAAATAATATAATATAATATAATATAATACAATATATTATGATGTGATATATAATAAACTATAATATAATTTCATTTGATATGATATGATATGATAGAATATAATATGATGTGATATATAACATAATATAATTTCATTTGATATAATATAATATAATATAATATAATATAATATAATATAATATAATATAATATGATGTGATATATAATATAATATAATATAATATAATATAATATAATTTGATATGATATAATATAATATAATATAATATAATATAATATAATATAATATAATATAATATAATATAATATAATATAATTTGATATGATATGATATAATATAATATAATATAATATAATATAATAAAAAATATAATATATGTTTAGTTAATTAAGAATGTATTAATTTAGTGTAATTATTATGATAATTGTGTACTTATATATTATTGTATTATAATTTATAATTATAGTTTAATTAATTTATTTATTTTCAGGGGCAAAAAACGCTTTAAAAATACCACTTAAATCTGGTTTTCCCCGACCACGAGAATATTGAAAGAATACGAATGTGAATATGAAAGAACGAGAAAGAAAGAAGTGGAATAAATCAAATAAATCTTTGATGCTGCATTTCACTGGCTGCAGAGTATTTTAAGAAACATCTCAGAGACAGAAACTTACAAGATTTTAGAATCACCAGCACAAGCTAAGTGGCATCTTTTTTGTTAATGCATTACTTAATGCAAAAAGATGCATTACAATGAAGATATGGATGCTGAATTGCATAAAATCCACTAGTAATACAGTAATTTAACAATTCACTGATGCAAGGTCATAAGACTGAGTGCTACAACTTCTTTATTCCAACAAATATGGACAAAAAGTGCAGAATCAGACATTTACTAATAACAACGTGAAAAGCAAATGCACTGAAAGCCTTCAAACCTAATCTGTAAATGACATTTCTGCTGAGAATGCTAGTAAACTCATAACTCTCACGATATGCTCTAGATGATTTTATGACACTTGATGTATGCTGAAAAATGTCCCTTCAACTTAGTGTTGTCTATTCGACTTGCTAATAAACTGTGAACAGCTACTGTTAAAACCAGGTCAACAAGTCACTGACAGGATTTCATGGCGTGATTTGATTAAGCCAGTGAGAAATGGAGAGGATGCGGTGCTATTGAAGATAATCCGATTGTAATTCTATGGTAATGGATATCATTTCAAGTGCAACGTGTCGAGTGTTAGTCGGGAAGAGAGGAAGTGTTAAGAAACTCACTGACTTTTATAACAGCAGAACCATATCAAATAACAGTTTTAAAAAGTCAAAGAAAAGTTACCTGGATTTCCCTGGCATGATATATGATAATCAACCCAAGTAGAATGATTGTAGAAAGGCTTATCAGGCATTTTAGGGCTAAAGAATAAAGTGACTCCTGAAAAAAGGAAGAAAAAGATACAGTAAGTAATTTGTATTAGTTAAAACATACCTCATAATTGCATGTTGATTAAATCTATAAAACATCAGCAACAGCATAACAACAGCAAAAACTTACAATGTACAGGTGAAGTCAAAATTATTAGCCCCCCCTTGAATTTTTTTTCCTTTTTCAAATATTTCCCAAATGATGTTTAACAGAGAAAGGAAATTTTCACAGCATGTCTGATAATATTTTTTATTCTGGAGAAAGTCTTATTTGTTTTATTCCGGCTAAAATAAAAGCAGTTTTTATTTTTTTTTTAAACATTTTAAGGTCAAAATATTAGCCCCTTTAAGCTTTATTTTGTTTCGATAGTCTACAGAACAAACCATCGTTATACAATAACTTGCCTAAATTCCGTAACCTGCTTAGTTAACTTAATTACCTAGTTAAGCCTTTAAATGTCGCATTAAGCTGTATAGAAGTGTCTTGAAAAATATCTAGTCAAATATTATTTACCGTCATCATGGCAAAAATTAAAATAAATCAGTTATTAGAAATGTGTTATTAAAACTATTATGTTTAGAAATGTGTTGAATAAATCTCTTCTCCGTTAAACAGAAATTGGGGAAAAAATAAACAGGGGGGCTAATAATTCTGACTTCAAAGGTACTTTTAATCATTCTGAGAGATAGTTTGAGTCTGAGGGATAGTTCACCCAATTCTGTTATCATTTACTCATCCTTCACTTGTTTAAAAAACTATTGAACTACTGGAAAGAAACCGGAAAGAACAAAAGAGAAGATATTGTGAAAAATGCTGATAGCTGCCACCCATTGACTTCCATAGTAATTTTTCCTCTACTATGGAAGTTGATTGGGTTACAGCAACCAGCATTTTTCAAAATATCTTCTTGTGTTTTTAGCAAAAGAGGAAAAGTGACTTTAAAATGCCCACGAAATCAAAACTAATGGTATCATTTTGTTAGTTCACATTACTAGTATTGTGGTGAACAATTCATCTGTGCATGTCATTAAGAAAAAAATAGTTTGCCCTTCTAATTTTTAATTGAAATCTAAAAATGCACTTCCTGCTTTTCTCTGTTCAGTTGTCAGATTATGCCCTCCAGCTGTCAGCTTTGACAACAAAGAGTAAAGGTGAGCAAGAGGTGTCTCTCCCTAACCCTTTTTTCCAGATTTTTCTGAATGAATTGATTACTCATTCAGCTCAGTAGAAAGAAACAAGCCACGCCCACTGTTTTCTCATTTAATGTTCCATTTCTCTAGGAACTGCGTCACAATACGTAAAAACTAACTGTAAATAAATAATTGATGATGTAATTATCATTTTTGGGTGAGCTTTCCCTTTAATCATTTGCATATGACCATTGCACAATATAAATAGATAGTTCAACTAAGTTAAAATTAGCTGTTTATTCACTCATCCACACTCAAAAAAACAAATGTGCTGTTTGTTCAAACTACTGAAGTAACATGAGCTGAAACAACACAATTCTTCAGTTTTCACAATTCTTGAGGTTTTTTTTTGGAACAAGTTAATTGTTTTATGTTCAATTCACTTAAATTTGTAACTTACTACAAATAACTAATTACTTAACTAGTAAGTTAACTTAATTCCTTTATGTTGACACAATACAAGTTGATTGTGTGGAACCCATCATTTTTTAAAGTGCATGGAAATCCAGGCTCAAACAAATACCTTTGCTGCTTGTTCAAACTAAATATTGAAAATGAGCTGAAACGACACAATTCTTACTTTATTTTATTTTTACAGTGCATGATTTTGCTGACTTTTCTTCAGTTGAATAATGAAGAAGATTTTAGCTAGAACTTTAGTGATTTGCATTGTTCAAGCAAATATTCACAAAAACTTTGAGAGTCAAAAACATAAAACAAGATGAATTCCCTTGATTCCCAATGATACACTGAGTTTTAATGAAAAAAGCACTCGCCTTGCAGAAGCTGTGAATGTTGAAGACGTTTAGTTTCTTGTACAGATGATCAATTCTTTTATTAGGTCTTAGTGTATCACAGAAATTAATTTTGCATTGTTTATGTTTTGTTGACTCTCAATGTGCCTTTACACTAAAAAAAAAACAATTGTTACATTTACAACTTTTTTTTAAGTTAATTAGTTGTAAACAATTTATATAGGCTGAATTTAAACAAGGTAAGTTGAACATTATTAAATGTATTTCCTAGTGATGGGCTGCAGCTGGAAGGGCATCCTTCCTGCGTAAAACATATGCTGGATAAGTTGGCGGTTCATTCCGCTGTGGTGACCCCAGATTAATAAAGGGACTAAGCCAAAAAAAAATGAGTGAATGAATTATTAAATTGAATGTGTTTGTTTAAATTCAGCCCATATAAATTGTTTCCAACCACTCACTTTAAAAATAATTGTAAATGCAATGATTTTTTTTCAGTGTAGACGTTGACCTTCATTATGACAGCAAGGACCCCAGTTTCATTAAAAAAAATCCACCATTGTATAAGCCTGAGAGTGGCTAAATTAACAGCAAATGTTCTTATTTGGGTGAACTGTCTCTTTAAATAAAATCTGTGATGCAGTTTTACTATGTGTCAGCATATTTTCAGTTGTTTCAGTCTCAATGTTCAAAAATTACAGCATATTGTTTAGTAGAATTTAACAGCAACAACAACGCTGTTGTTTCAAAGACACACGATCATTGATTTTCCTGGGGTTTCTCTTACAGACGAGACACTTGCTGCTCTACTATTAAACTCATTCTGTTCTCACAGATGTGGATTGTATGATGTGGTTATAATGTAGCAGTAGCTGTTTAGTGCTTATATCAACTATAGATATAGTGAAAATATATGAATGTCATCATTTGGCAGCTCTGTGGCAAATTGACTTGCAGTAATGCATTTCTTCTTGGGACTTTTATGGTACTGCAGTTACAGTATTTTATGAGCATTCAAATGCCATTATAGGTAAATAGCACAATTCTTATTTATTTTCCCAACAATAATAACAATAAACATGACTAAAAAAGGGATGATATGCTATAATTAAATAACTTTTAAAGCGTTTCCACTTTTTGCAAGTATATGTTAACATTTACAAAAAGGATGTTTTAATGTTTGTAGCAGTCCAGCATTTCCTTTAGCAATCACAAGCAGTTCTGTCATTTTTTTTTTGCATTGATATAAATTATTCATGAAAGACACATGAATTTTAATTAGAGAGAAAAATGTTTTGGCCATTTGCCATTTCTATACAGCATAACAGTTTTATATTTTATTATTCAAACTAATTTGTGTAATTAAATCTATTGTGAAAAAAAAGTTTATAATGTTAAAACTATTACAAATGGACATGAATTTAATTAGAATTTAAACATATATAATGTACAAAAACAACTTTTTTTAAATTCTGATATGGTAGAACAGTATTTAAGCAACGCAAAATAAAATGTGAAAATAAACATGTTTCTAATGTTAAAGCTTTCATCATCGATATAATTGGGTAAAAATAAAATTATGTATTTAGCCACTTTCCACTTACCTATCCTTTAATTTTTTCAATCTCTTTTTAAATTATTACGTAAGAAAACACTATGGTGAAAGAAGCATGTTTCTTATTTCACATACTTCTACCATTAATATTCATATCACTTTGTTACTGGAAGTATTTTATGTAAAACTAAATTTAATATAAAAAGCTATACAATACAAACCAATTTAATTCTAAAATTATTTAATTCTAAAATAGTTATAGAACATTTTCTATTTCAGTATAACACACTTTTTTTGATTGGTTTTTGGATTAGTTTGTATGTAAATGTATTTACTTAATATTAATTAAAGTACAATACTGTTTCTAGTCATTTTCTATTTAACAAAACTATTATAAAAAGAAGTGTTTTATATTATAAAAGAAATATGAGAGCAGTTTTAATCACTTTTCTTTGTTATTTAAACTATTTTACATATGAAATAACTGTTCCAACATCAATTTCTTGTAAAGGTCTCCAATTATTTGTTTTTTCACCTGTCCATTTTTTTACTTCTAGAATTATTTACTAACTTGATTAATAATCTTAATAATAAAAGACAATGTGAAAAAACTATCCGTCAAAAGTGACCGTCCAGAAAACGTGACCTTGCCACGATTCTCCATTCCCTCATCCGCTCCGCACACTTTCCAAACTTGTAGTTGTCTCTCTCTCTCTCTCTCTCTCTCTCTCTCTCTCTCTGTTTCTCTCTCTCTCCCACTCCCTCTCTCCCTTAATGAATTCTGACCTACATGGGGGAACCTGCAGGATTTGGCGACTATTAAGTTACACACCTTTCCGTAGGCTCCCCAAGAGAGTTCAGTTTCAATGACCATCACCACGATCCCAAACATCCCAAAGATGAGCGCGTAGTCGCTGAGCCGCTTCCTCTTCTCGAACAGGGCCCTCCGGTGCCCGAGCTTCTGCCCGATGTTCTGGTTCTTCTTCTTGCCCGATTTGCTGCCGCTGTGGCTACATCCACCGCCTCCACCTCCTCCTCCTCCGTCCCCCGTGGCGTAAGGCATGAGGGTGCTGGAGTTGTTCTCCGGCTTGGAGGCGAGTGTGTCGGACGCGTCCGCCGCAGAGACGGGCTGCAGTGGCTGGGACTCCGAATCAAACTCGTGCAGGTTCCTGCGGGACGAGCTCAAGTTGCTGAGCGGCCGCATCACGCCGCCGTTGTATCTGCAGCTGCTCATGGCTATTTGGGTGTAAGAGTTACTCTCTCTGTGGCTGCTGGCCGGACTGCCCCGAATCTGCTGCCGGTTGTGGTCGCGATGAGGATGATGATGGTGGTGATGATGATGTCTGGATGAACTACCATGACTAGAGGGCGTGAACTCGCTGTACTGAGCGCCTTGCCTTGTTGAAGATGAGACGGACGGTGTCCTTAAAGTTCCCAGCGGCGTCCCGTGCAAAGGCTGGCTTTTTCTGGCATCCTCGCAGGTGGAGGAGTTGTTGCAGGTGCAGTGCCTGATGGAGCGCTCTTCCTCCCGCCCGCAGTAGTGCTGGTACTTACAGTGCTGCTGCTGCTGCTGCTCTGGATAGAAATTGTTCTGCAACTGCAATGGGGTTTCCATGTCAGAGCTGCTGCTTAAAGCGGAGCCCCGTGCTTGCACCCTACCGAGGGGGCGTTGTGATGAGTAACGGAGGATAGAAGCTGGCGCGAGGATGGACCCACGTCGGCTCCTGTAGAAGTGCGAGCGAGCTTCCGATTGGTCGGCGACCCAAAACAACTGGCCTGACGTCAGGCGGGGAAGGTGGCAACATGCGGTTCAAATGTGCGGGCATTCATATCCACAACTCGCTGCTCTCAGGCTTTTCCTTTGGGCTGAGAGATTAATGGATTTCATTTAGATAATATTTATGGTTTCTTTACGTTTGTTTGTGTTACAATCCACATAAAATGTCTAGAATTAAAAGTAGATTTTTATGTTTATAAGAGTATTAAAAATGTAAACAAATCAGCAATAAATAAAACTCATCGACGTTACATTTTCCAGACATTGTTTCTTTGAAATTCAAAACTTACATTTTTCACTCATTTTCCCTTGTTTTATTTATTGATCTATCGGAGGTCACATTGAAATGAACCACCAATTACCATCAGCTACAACCATCAACCCTCTGTGCCGGGAAACACTCATACACCCTCCTATTCACATATTCATACGTTATGGCAAATTTAGTTGATCCAATTCACCTATACAAGATCTTTGGACTGTAAGGAAACCAGAGCACTTTGAACTCCACACAGAAATGCCTCCTGACCCAGCCGTGACTCGAACCGGCGACCTTGCTGTGAGGTGACAGTGCTAACCACAGAGCCACAATTAAATTGCACCATACAATTAAATTGATTAAAATAAATTAAAGTAATATATTATTATACTAAGAATAAAATATAAGAGGTGCAATAAAAAAAAACTAAGAAAACAAAACTTTATTTTAATTGAAAATAATGGTTTCTGATGGCCATACACAGTTAAGAATAAAATAATAATAATGATACTTCTGTATACGGATCAAATAATACTAGCAAAATTAATTTAATGTTATATTTTTATACAATTATATACATTGTTTTATTATTATATTATTCATTTATTATATTATTATATTAATTATATTATTGTGTGTATGCATGAGTGAATTAAACAAATATTGATTAACAGATTTTTTTGGGGGGAGGCAAATAAACAAATTCACAATTTACGTATGGCATCTACAGCTAAATATAAAACAGTTTTTAATCATCCACTTTTTGTAATTTAATAAAATCAAATAATTTGCAATTCAATTATTGCTTTATTTATTTATTTATTGTTCAGAACGGATTGATAAAGGTCCAATTTATATCTGTCAACACTCCGTCATGAGCCTCTTTGTTATTAACAAAATTTAATAAAAGTATCAACTAAAAAGTATCTTTCTCGTATAACACAAAAGACAGTGATGTTACCTGCATATGTTACCTTTTAATCAACAATGCTTGAACAATGACAGAAAGGCATTAAACCTTTTTTTATTACACAAAAGACTGAGATAACTATCATTGTTGCTACATTCACAATCTTTCCATCCCCATTAATAATAATAATACAACATATATAAACAAATAAAATAACACAAATTAACAAATAAAATAAATGATAAAGGGGCAGTGTGTAGCACAATCGCCTCACAGAAAGAAGGTCGCTGGTTCGAGCCCCAGCTGGGTCAGTTGCCATTTCAGTGTGGAGTTTGTATGTCCGGTACAGGTGAACTGGGTAAGCTAAATTGTCCAGTGTATGTTAATGGGTGTGTTTGGTGTTTCCCAGTGATGGGTTGCAGTTGGAAGGGCATCCGTAAAATATGCTTGATAAATTGCCCGTTCATTCTGCTGTGGTGACCCCAGATTAATAAAGGGACTAAGCCAAAAAGAAAATGAATGATGAACGAATGAATGAATAAATGATAAAGAAAATTAAGTAGCAGGGGAGTTGAAGTTCTCAAAATATGAAACCAAAATCCTCTAATAATGAATATAAATATCTTGATTTTGACTTTTTATCACTCTGAATGTCTTCAAATACAGTTGAAGTCAGAATTATTAGCCCCCCTTTGATTTTTTTTTCTTTTATCAATATTTCCCAAATGATGTTTAACAGAGCAAGGACATTTTCACAGTATGTCTGATAATATTTTTTCTTCTAGAGAAAGTCTTATTTATTTTATTTAGGCTAGAATAAAAGCAGTTTTAAATGTATTATAAACCATTTTAGGGTCAAAATTATAAGCCCCTTTAAGCTATTTTTTTTCAATAGTCTACAGAACAAACCATCATTATACAATAACTTGCCTAATTACCCTAACCTGCCTAGTTAACCTAATTAACCTAGTTAAGCCTTTAAATATCACTAAGCTGTATAGAAGTGTCGTGAAAAATATCCAGTAAAATTTTATTTACTGTCATCATGGCAAAGATAAAATAAATCTGTTATTAGAAATTAGAGTTATTAAAACAATTATGTTCAGAAATGTAAAAAAAAAATCTCTCCATTAAAAGGAAATTGGGGAAAATATAAACAGGAGGGCTAATAATTCTGACTTCAATTATATATATCACAGATTCTTCTTCAAACACCAGTAGTATTGGGGGAATTTTGAAAAATGTACATTAATAAATGTAAAATTTTATTATCTGGAGAAAATATTCTATACTACACGAATCAGAATGAATTGTTTTAGTGAACCGATTCCAAAGCTCCGATTCTCTAAGACGAATCAAACTCGCCACTACAGTCACAATCCACGTGCACCTGACTACATTTAAAGCCTGGATTTATTGTACTCTTAAAAACAAAAAAACAAACAATAAAAATCATTACAACAACAGAAATTACAGAAAACAAGTCCACTGAACAACCGCACGTATAATCCTTAATGATTAAACACTGCCTTCCTTTCCAGTGCATATTGCGTAACACTCACACAATCGCTGGCACGCCTAAATCATAACAATATTCATCTCGATGTCAATACAAGTGTGTGTTTATTGTCTTAATCTTCATTAAGTACAGCACGTGTGGAAGTCGCTGCAGTGTTACCGCAGTCACAGCACGTCACCTCGCAGCGTCAGCAGCATCTGAAAAATCCTTTGTTATTGTTGTCTCGCTTCTTGCCAACTTGCATCGTTATGAAGCGAGATCAAGCTGCCGTCAGTCTGTCAGTCAATCACCGAGCAGCTCATTACTAGAGGACTATCAGAGAGTTTGAATGAAAGAAAGATGACTGGATGCGCGCGCCATGTGTTGGAAAACTAGACAGATACTTGAAAACAAGGCAGCTCGGTTTCGTGCTAGACACTCGGAGATGTGTGATGGGTGTACTGTATCTTGCTGCAGATGTTGTTTTTTTGTCTATCATCAGCTGTGCCTCATGTTTGATTTACTCATTTATATTTAAAACATTTCAAATTTGGAGTTAACTATCTTTGATTTATTATTATTATGCAGTTATATTATTGTTATATCATTATACAATTTATCTTACTACAATACATAGTCATAAATCATACAATAATTAAACATAAAATGTAACGTATGCAACGCAATGTAGGCTACATTATCAACTATTAACTGCATAATTGGTCATTTTTATTAAAAATTAAACATGGTTTTTATTTATCTTTATATTTGTAATTTTATGTTAGTAATTAATGATAATATGTGCTTTTTTATATTTCAATAACTAAGTATTACCTAATTTCAAACTATTAATATATTATTTAATATATACATATAGGAATAATAACAACAATTATTGTTTTATATTAATAGTTATAATAATAATAATGCTTATTATTATTTATCATTATCATTATCATTATAATAATTATTATTATTATTATTATTATTATTATTATCACTACAAAAAAAAGGGGGGTATAACTAAAATGTTTTTTTAACTATAGAATCTAAATAAAATACTTGCAACTTCACTGTTTAATTGACGGTATCCTTTGTTTCTAAATAATCGCGCATTTCTTATTATCCTTTTATGAGGGAAAACCTTTCCTTTTCTCGAGTTCACTTCCCTGTACTTCTCTACTACACATGCGTGCCTTCACGGCCACCGTAGTTACAGATGTTACAACCGGTTAGCGTTTGATCAGAACTGTCTTCATTCATTAAATACCGTACAAACAACAAAAGCGGTGAAATATCTCAGACACACGTCACGCAGACTAATGGCCGGAGTTAACCAGGTTTATCTGTTCATTAGCGGCGGCCGAAACCGACTAGAGGCTGATTATTGACAAAGCGATCATTTATTAGCTCGCCGGTGAACTCTTTGTTATAGTCAGCTGCTTTTATGGTCCCCAAATCAGCTGAAAGCGGGTTGTAGATGGTGGATTCGGGCAGCGACGCGTCAGATGTGGCTCAGTGTATCGATTGAGATGCGTGACATTATGCGCGAAAGTGGATTGAGCTGTTTTTCTAACGCGTCGAGTGAACAATGAGGAGAAAGAAAGGACCAGCATCATCCTCAGATCATGAGGAGCCCCCGGGTAGGATGTGATGAGTTTGACAGTTTCAACTGCTCTTTCGGTATAACGTTACCACAAATGTACTGCTTTAAAATTGTGATGTTAAAATGTACACATTGGTCATTCGAGAATTGGTTAATAAATAAAACAGTATTAAATAAACTGTGCTTCCCAACATGACAAATGTATGATAAACACATGTAATAAATGCTAAATGCAAATGAATTATGCCAATATTACGAAACGTCATCGTAAACTAGAATTTATTTGCATAAATGCATTTATAGATTTACATTTTTTCAGAACCAATTTGAGATGTCAAAATGTTAACTATAAAATGTTGTCAAATAAATGTTTAAAAAAGGAAAATATTACTTATGAAATCAATAAAAGGGCATTTTTAAATTCATTGCATATATACTCTATAAAATTTTACCCTTTTCAGTTTTGTTGTCATCACTGTAGGTTTTCTGCTGTTTAGAGTTTACTGTCAATATCTCAGTTTTGGACAAATTTTATGATCTACAATTTACATTTAAATGTAAAAGTTCAGTCATTCATCATGCAGATTTGTTTATGTTGTTATTTGAGCAATCTGAACTAAAGTTCACATTTGTTATTAGTATTTGGTATAGTACATATGCTGTATATTAATAATGAAATATACATGTTAAATTTAAACTAAAAAGACGATGCGGTGGCTCAGTTATAGCCTTACAGCAAAATGGTCACTAAATAAATGCAATAAATGCTAAATGCAAATGAATTATGAATCATAAATGCATTTTTAGATTTACATCCTCTCAGAGCCAATTGGAGATGTTTAAAAAATGTTTTTTTATTTTTTATTTATTTACTGGGAAATAGGGCTGCACAAAATATCATTTTGGTATCGATATCGTAATCAATGTGATCATTCGCAATACTCTCGTCACGAGCATACGCAGTGTTGAGTTTGCATGTGTTTTGATGCCTGTGATTGTATAATGACCTTAAAAGCATTCAGACATAAGAAATTGTACCATAAGTAACTTTAACAGCAATACATTTAATTGAATTGTTTTTATCATTCAGTTACTGTACTTGAATACTGTTAGACTCTGGAAATGATAAAACACTTTAATTTATTTGCAGCTTCCACTTGATTATATTTATAGATTGTTATCCATGAAAATACTCACAACATGTGCAAATACAGAAATGCACTGCAAATAGCACAGACCACAATGAAATTGTGTCGGGGGGTCCCAAAAAGTTTATAGATTGTTTATTAGATTTTATGGAGATGTACTCCCACTGCAGACTCATTCCAATCCATCTAACATTAGAAATTATTTCTAAATACCAAAGATATTCAAGTTATCTGGTGAAATTGTATTCATATCTAAATAAAAATAAATAAATAAAAATAAAAAAATCTCAGTGCTAGATTTTTCCAATATTGTGCAGCGCTACTGGGAAATCTACTAAAGAAAGTGCAACAGAGTGTATTAAAGGGTTAGTTCACCCAAAAATGAACATTCTGTTATTAATTACTCACATATTTTAGATGAATTCAGAGATCTCCCTTATTCATAGACAGCAAAAGTCCTGAAACATTCAAAGTCCGGAAAAGAACATTCAGCGGGACTTTTGTGCACCCCAAGAACACGTTTGTGCACAAAAAAACAACAACAGCTGGCAATTCAATTTCTAAGTAAAATAACATCTGTGTTAAACATAGCATAATGACAACTGAGCATTTTGCTCTGCAATGTAAATTAAATCTATTGCATTTGCTACTGTTGTACAGAGATGCCCAAACTAGGGCCCGTCGGCCAAAGCTGGCCCATTTTAACCTATGATTCGGCCTGCCATTTCATCTGAGAATAGAGTGAGAATTTTGAGGGTTAATGCCTTTATTACATTGTAATTTTTTAACATCATTTAACAACTTTTCATTTGTTAGTTTTATTGTTAAGCTTCAAAAAAAAAAAAAAGAAAGAAATGAAATGTTTCAATTAACTGTTGTAAATGAATCCAGTATTTTAAAAAAATTAAATACAAAATGAGCAAACGATTACTCAATGGATAGACCACAATTCAGAAGTCCTCAATAAGCAAATCAAGACAAAGGCAGGTGCAGCCAGACTAGTGTATTTAGCATTAAACTCCATTATGTTATAATTGGAATTCTAATGTTTTCATTAGAATAGGTTTGTTATAAAGTATAAAAATATATAATGCATTAGTTAATATCATTAGAATAATGTTTTCTATAGTCTATAGTCATTCATCTAAATTAATAGAAATGCCAACAAAATGAAAAGAAGAAAAGAAGAACGAGCCGCTTTCACGAATATGAGCATGGTTGCACAGGAAAAAGTGATATTGATTTTATGCAAACATTTAAAAAATATAGATTTTTGTTGTCAACATCTCATAGTTTTGGTCTTTTTGTAGTTCTAACCCACTTTGTTCTTGAACTTGTCTTAGTCTGAAGCCCTCAAAGTCTTCAGCATGTTTTGGTCTCAGCACTCTCTGATCTTGGTCTTCACTTACTGTCTATTGAAGTAGTCGTGACTACAGTACTCAGTGGTGAAAAAAGTACTGACAAATCATATTTAAGTAAAAGTACCATAATTTGCCTAAAATGTACTGCAAGTAGAGTAAAGTATGTGTTGTCAATATTACTCAAAGTATGAGTAAAAAGTAGCTTTTTTAAAAGCACTCAAGATTAGTAAGTAATGAGTGTTACACTGTAAAAAGCTGATGATTTACATGTAATTTGTGGATGTGTGTAAACGTAACATTCTGTAGTGCATTTAGTTATTGCTCGGCAGGCACACGTCATAGGACGTTAACATTAGGTTAGATTTAGGTTGTGATGTCAGGTGAACAAAATTCAATGTCTAGCCAGCACAAGGACAACGTTATTTTGAAGTTCAATAACGATGTCAAATGATGTTGATATTTGGTTGATTTTAGATTGTTAGAAAGTGACCAAAATCCAACATCAAGCCAACATCTTAAACCAACTTCATATTGACGTCAAATACTGACATTTATTTATTGGGTATGGCAACCAAAATCCAATGTCTGATGGATGTCATATTGGAAACGTCCACTTAATGTCAAGCTCTTCTAACATCATCATTAGATGTTGATATTTGGTTGATTTTAGGTTGGATGTTAGACATTGACATCAGCCTAACGTTGGGTTCTAATTTCAACCTGATTTCCATTTCCAAACAAAATTCAATGTCCCCACAACGATGGGGTACAACGTAAAACAGACGTCATGTTGACATCTTGTGCCTGCTGGGTGTTTAAAGCCATTTCGGTCATCATACAGTAAACATCTGTCATCTTTTTATCAGTGACAAACCATTACTTAAACTATCATCTAAACTCTCTCTGGGTCAATGCGTGTAAAGATTTTGGACATCTTATTAGACACTTTTAATGCTTCCAAACAGTTTGCTGCAATAATAAATCGCCCATGTCTTGAGGTAGTTCATTATGATGTGATTTACTTTCTATGTGTGATTTGATTGGACAGGAATCACAGGACTGATTTTTTATAATCCCCATGGACAAAAAAACAAAGTAGTGACTGCAGGTTGAAGGAAAGTAGTGGAGTAAAAGTACAGATACTGCACAAAAAATGTACTCAAGAGAGAGTAAAAGTAGACTTTTTTAAAACTACTTGGTATATTACAATTCCTGAGAAAGACTATTCAATTACTGTAGTTTGAGTGTTTGTAATTTGTTACTTTACACCACTGAAAATACTTTATTGAAAATATGAGTTATTTTCAATTTAGAAAATGTGTTTTGATTGTAGAATGAATCATCCAAGTATGCAAGTTCAGTTTACCACAGACATACATTAAATGTTAAAACTCATAAAGGGACTCGCTGGCAAATTAATTTTGCAGGTTTTGGCATCATGACTGCAGCACTCTGTTAACATCTCAAGAGCTTGTGTTGTGATTTATTTACAGAGTCAGACAGTGTCATTCCAGAGACGCCGGAAACCAAACGTCCATCGGGATCATCTCTGTCCACCGCCATTTCTGACTCGGACTCGGACTCTGATAGTGAGATTTCAGGCAGCTCCATGATGCCTGTCAGGTCAGTAATCAACTTCAGAATTTGTGCTTGAGGTAGAGGCATAAAAATAAATGACATGAGGCCTTCACACACACTCTAAAACTGTTTTTATTTTTCCAGGGATACAATTTAAAAATGCCAAAGTATAAACATTTTAATTTATGTCCAATGCTGTCTAATATATGGTTTTAAAAAATCAAATAATGTTTAGAGGAAACCTGTGAAAAACATTTAAATCATTGCATATATAAATACTGTATAGCATTTGCAATTTACATTTAAATCAAATATTTCAGTGATTCATCATGCAGATTTCTCTATGTTGTATTTATCTGCACATTCTGAAGTAAAAGCCACATTTGGTAATATTATTTGGTATTTAAAATTGCTGTATATTAATATTGAAATATACATTTATAATTTGTACAAATAGGCGACACGGAGGCTCAGTGGTTAGCACTGTCGCCTAACAACAAGAAGATTGCTGGTTCCGGCTGGGCTAGTTGGCATTTCTGTATGGAGTTTGCATGTTCTCCCAGTGTTTGCGTTGGTTTCCTCCGGGAGCTCCGGTTCAAACACATGCATTATAGGTAAATTGAATAAACTAAATTGGCCTAAGCTGGGACTAAGCTGAAAAGAAAATGAGTGAATAAATAATTTTGTATATATTTAGTGTATTTTTTTACATTATATATTAAATATGTATGTTTTGTATATAAAAAAAAGTTTTTGTAAATTTATTGATTATGTTCTCAACTTACATTGCATTTATTTTTTGTGCTGTAAAATGAAATCTCTAAGACTATCTGACAAATTAATAATTTTGGCTATTTTAATGACCAATTATTGTTATTTTCATTAATTATTTGCAGGCTTAAAAACTTTATTATATCAACTCCCTGTACTATAGCAAAAATGTGTTTTTAAAAAGTCAGCATAAATGATATGTATAGTTAAAGAGCTGTATCATTTGAGCAGATTTTGGACTTACTGTATGCAATCAAACTTCTGACACTGGTTACGTTTACATGGACATCCGCAATCAAATTATTTGGCTTAATCTAAATAAGACAATAATATGATTAAAGTGTTTGCTTTTTGGATGTTTCTTTCATGATCCTGTTTTAGATGTTGTAACACTTAATTGGATTAACATCACTGTGTCACCACGCTATCCACATTTCCTTCAAGGTTTCATGTAATTTTGGGTGTTTCATTTTTAATTTGTTGACTTTACTGCAGTTTGGCACTTTCCCTTTCATTCAGGAGCATTTCATCCATGCTCCCATGACAAACAAGATATTGGATGTGAGTATGAACTGCTGAAAGAGTGTTGTTTTAAGGGATTTTGATACCGCATGCCATATGGGGAAAACAACCTCAGCATTTCACAATGTGTGTCTGTGGTCTTTCACTGACTCTGTAGGTGCTGTAAATGGTGCCGAATACATATGTGTGTGGGCCATTCTTCAGCTACAGGCACTTTTAGCCTTGTGAAGTTGAGTAAAAAAAAACTTGTTCAAAGTTAACGTAACACAGCCTCATAAGTTTAAACAATTTGTCTAGTTTTAAGATCTGTAAGAGGACAAACTCAGATAAGAAGGAGAAACATTTTTTCCATCGTGAACTGAACAAATGTCATTTCCACCACATCTCAACATACGGCTTATTTCAAAATGAAATAAATGATGGCAGTCAAACATAGTCTAAAATCATTTTTTTATCTAGTCTACCCAATCTTTCCAGAATATATACAATAATTATACGTTTGTCAATGAAATAAATTAGTTGTATGCTGAATTGTCTACCTGTCACACTCTAAAATTTAATATAAATTTGGTTAAGAGCTTATTAGAAAATAAGTGAAGTTTCATAAATTAATTTCGAGAGGAGCACGTGATATGATTGTGCACCGCTGGCCACTCATCCGTAATCAGTAATAATCCAATCAGAATGATCCTAGCTTAATATAAATGGATCACTTTCTCCTTATTGCACTATCTTCGTTTTGGAAGAATCCCCCCTTCCACCCCATCTCCTCCTTTTTCTCCCCTTCTTAAGGGGAAGCGATCGAGACCTACCTGATCTCGGTTCTCCTGATATGCTTCTAGACCGGGCGGGAGCCCTGGGCTCAAATATCTCCGAGCTCAGGGTTCTCTCCAGGGACAGCATGCCTGCTATAAGTGCCAAGCATATCTAAGTGGGAACTCTTGAAACTGAATTTTTATATTAAATAGAGCATGAACTTGTACATTGTGAATACACCTTTAATGTGTGATGAGAACTCTTTAAATATTTTTTCAAAATGTGTGTGGTGGTGGAAATGACAGTGGTGGAAATGACATTTCAACAGTTTATTGTAAAGAAATGAAAAATAGCTTCACCGATTAGCTTTGAATTGATACTAGCCTTTCATTTATACAAAAGACTCTTTTTTTACCTTAATTTTGTTTGGTTTTTAAAAACATCTTTGAAGGTATACATGTTTGGTAATGACGTAGAATAAATGTATTTTTTTATCAAGCAATATAAAGCTGTGTTGTTGATAAAAAATTTTAATTCCTTCCATCTTGATCATGTTCTCAGATGGCACTATTCATTTTCATAGAAACCACCTAAATAATCTTTCACACAAACTTTTTAAAGCGACATTATAGTGTTGTGGTGAAAATGACACTGATACTGTGCGACAGCTATATTTTGTATAAAAAATAATATTGATAATAATCTCACATTAATAACTATGAAATATTTAAGTTATTTCATTAGTGCTTATTGCTTAATTAAGATACATTAATAGATATTAGATAAATAATATTTTAAAATGTTACTTTTATTGCTGAAGTTAAAACTCTGGGTGTGCAACAAGGTGAAAACAGTGATTTTGACAACTAAAAGGAGGTTGAATAATATGAAAATATATAATAGAAATCTAGTAAAAAAAATGTTAAAGTGGGTTTTATTGTTAGTTTGACAAAAAAAGAGGAATTTGAACAAAATTAAATATATTTATGGATATATAATCAAAGGACACAAAAGTGCCCAAAGAATTACCCGTGTATAGATTGTCCTGTCATAAAATGCAGCGTATATATCCTACACAACGGTAATAGTTTGACTGAGGTGTTTACATGTCTGTACTGCACTTCAATTATGTGACTAAAATCAGCATACTCCACATGTCTTAATCTGATTTCTGTTTAGTTTAAATATGACCTTAATTAGATATAATTAATCAAAAATCGCTGTTTACATGGTAGACTCTTAATCAGAGTATTGTCTTAATCATATTAACGTCAGATTTTGGTGTCCATGTAAATGTCAATGCTGAAACTTCAGTTCATTTAACAAAGCTGTTCAACAATATCCTTTATATACTCTGATATTAAGGAAACTTAGGCCTAGGAAGAGAAAAGCAGCATCATCTGCGGATGAGTACTCAGTGTCTGACGAAGAGGAAGAGATTGTGGTGAAGACTAAACGAAGGCCGACGCACAGCAGAACGACAAGATCTACCTCACAGCAAGCTCAACCAGCACACCAGAAGGCCTCAGAGACGGTAAAAACCACCACTTCCTAGACCCACAGCGTGACAATTTTGGATGCACTCCAGCCTTGATTTTTAGCTGCATGGCAATAATCATCTCATTGATGTTTTAGGTGACCGACATCGCACACCCCTCGCCCCTGAAGACATCCGGGATGGCAGGTACAGATGAGCAGATTCACTCCATCAATCTGAACAGCTCCCATGATAAAAGCTCATTGATCGCTTGGATGGCTTCAGTATTGCTGAATCCAGCTGAGTCTGAGGTGAAGATGCATTCGCCGCATTGATTCGCGTGTTGCTGAGCCATGTTGACATGCTCTCCTTTTCAGCTGCTGATTCGGTCCAGCAAAGGAGGCGACAGCAGATGTGCGGCTCTTCCCAGGAGAGCGACAGCAGAAAGGGTGGACGGGTTTCTGCGGTGAGTTCAGACACGAACATTGGATTATCGTGGGACGTTCTCTCTCTGATCCCCCTCAATACTGACAGCAATGCATTTTATGGTGCTGCAAATCCACCGAGGCTAAATTGAAAAGAGTGTCCCGATCAAGGACACCAGCAGTGTGTCTTTCTACCTGGGATATCAACTGCCAGGTTACACATAATCCCCTTTCTAGATGATTTATTAGTCTGTTTGTCATTTGTCATTGGGGAGTGTGTGTGTGTGTGTGTGTGAACTATCCCTTAAAGGCCCTGCTATACACACAGCTTTCTGTTTTTTGCTGTTTTCTTAGGGGTAAAAGGGCGTTTGAAATACATGTTGCGTACTGCAAATAAACATTTAATATGTAAATGTATTCTGCAAATTTTCCTCTCAACATCAAAATAAATACACAATAAAGGACAGAGGTGAGAAAACAGCAGTAAAGAAAGCATCTGTGTAGTGATGCAGATGTTTGTACAAGCTTAAAATGTAATAGCATTTTTATTTACATCACTTTAAACTATAAATTGGTTTAATGAACCTGTATTATATAGCATCAGCTTTCAAATAGATTTACACTTCTAACTTCAGCAATCTGAACAGAGGAAATTAATTGTACACTACCTGACAAAGTCTTGTCACCGGTCTTTGTTGTATGAGCAACAAATAATAACTTGACTTCTAGTTGCTCATTTGGAAAAGTGGCATAAGGTAGATTTTTCGGATGAATCTTCTGTTGAACAGCATCCAAAACATCACAAATACTGCAGAAAACCTATTGGAACCCGCATGAACCCGAGATTCTCACAGATATCAGTCAATTTTGGTGAAGGAAAAATCATGGTTCGAGGTTAGATTCAGTATAATGGCGTGTGAGAGATCTGCAGAGTGGATGGCAACATCAACTGCCTGCGGTATCACAACATTTGTGCTGCCCATTACATTACAAACCACAGGTGAGGGCAAATTATTCAGCAGGACAGCACTCCTTATACTTTAACTTTTATTTCAAAGTTCCTGAAAGCAAAAAAAATCAAGGTGCTCCAGGATTGGCCAGCCCAGTCACCATACATGAGTATTTTTGAGCATGTCTGGGGTAAGATGAAGGAGGAGGCATTAAAGGTGAATCCAAAGAATCTTGATGAACTCCGGGAGTCCTGCAAGAACGCTTTCTTTGCCATTCCAGATGACTTTATTAAGAAGTTATTTAAGTCATTGCAGAGATGTACGGATGCAGTCCCCCAAGCTCACTGGAGTCATACACAATATTAATTCTTTTTCCACTGCACCGTGACTTTATAATCTATACTGTACATTATTTCTGTTAAGTGACAATACTTTTTTGTGTAAGCAAAGTCAGACCTTACTGTGCTAATTAAATGATTAAAAATCAAGACACAATCATATTTTATTTTGGTAAAATAGGCATAATCTAGAGGCCTGTGTCCTTCATGTAAGCCACTTCTGATACCAAATGATCAACCAGAATCATCATTAGTCGTCATTTACTCATCTTCCACTTCTACCAAACCTGTTAGAGTTTCTTTCTGTTGTTGAACACAGAAGTAGAAATAGTAAAAAAGTGTTGGAAAAACAACCATTAGTATTTTGTATACCTATTATATGTCAATGGCTGCATTTTTCCAACATTCTTTACGAAATCATTCTTTTGTGTTCAACAGTAGAAAAAAAATCAAAGCTTAGAAGCACTCGAGTGTGGATAGATGATGAGGAAATTTTCATTTTTAGGTGAACTATCCCTTTAAAGCTTCATTTAAAAACAATTTATTACAATTTAAAATTGACTTTATTGATCTTATTGCAGACATTTTCCCCCCCTTAAAAATAAATAAATCAAAACATCTTTGATTGAGAATGATGGAACCAGAAGTGGTAAGATGCTATCTGATGTTAGGTTTTGTCCTCCAGCCATGCGTCACCCCTGCAGCACTGCTCTCTGCTCAGGGATGTGTGTCACACTGGTGTTTTATGTCTCATTAGGCTGATGATTCAGAGGAGGAGGGACAGAGATCTAAAGATCAGGAACGTATGCTGAGAAAACTCCAAAGGAAGTTCCCACATCTCAACAAGAATGTGAGCGATTGCTGGATGAAGCCGGACATTTTTCTATGTAAATCAAATATTTGTTTGAACTTAAGGCCCAATGCTGTGTGTGGCTTTTTACAGGAACTCAGGGATGTGCTTCAGGAGCACGACTGGCTTATTGACGATGCCTTGGAAACACTACGAATGTTCTCTGACCTCGGTGAGCTTTGATTGATTGTGTACAACAGTATAAGGGTCATGTCATGAGAAGTATTTTTTTCTCTAATATTTTGACACATAAGAGGATGTATTTTTAAAACATAATGCTATTTTTAGACTTGAAAGATTCATTCTAACTGCAAAAATAGCATGTGTTGAAACTAAACTGCTAAAACAAGTGTAGATTTAGCATCTGGCTGCCTTAGAAACTATTTTTAAAGTAGAGGTGTCAAACCTTTATGAGTTTATTCTTTCTTGTTGAATACAAAAGTAGATATTTTCAAGAATGCTTGTTGCTGGGACCCATCGACACATTCCAGCTTACTATAGAATCCCAGTAACCAGTAGTGGGTCATAGTAACCAGCCATTTTTCAAAATATCTTCATCAACAGAAAAAAGAAACTCAGATCAGTTTAAAACAAGTAAATTGATGAATATATGATAACAGACTTCATTTTTCATTCATTTTTAGGTGAACTATCCCTTTAATGCATATTTTATCTGATCAGTCTAGAATCTACTGAGCTGAAGTGATGTATGAAGCTTCTGAGTCAAGCAGAGAGGCTGTAAAATCACATCAGGCACCTTAAATGTACTTCTGATGTAGATAGAATAATGTTTAAAATATCAGGGAGAATCAAAAGACCTAGTGCACTGACTTCCACAGGACTGCGCACAATCGAATAAATGGTTTCATCTTAATGGTGTTTCAGATCACGTCTCATTTTTGTGAGCCTTCGACTGCGGACTGTATATAAACAAGGGCACAGAAACCTTTTTGTTAAAAAATTAACAGTTTTGGATCTGATAGCAGCTGCTTCGTAAACAGGAACTTTCACAATGGTTTGTCTGTTGTCTGTTTGGCTGCACACGGAAGTAAGGAGATGCACTAGGGATGTAACAATATTGTAAATACCGTCATACTGCAATAGTAATTTTTTTCAATATTACCGTAGGCGCATGACTCAATAAAACTATATTTCTGAGAAAAGTTTGCTTAGGCGAATGAAGCGAACTGGAGGTAGCGGGAACTACAATTCCCATCAGCCTAGGCGTGGCCATCATCCTTTGCGGTCTGTTGTCACTACAGATCCAGTAATGCGGAAATGGAGTGTGTTGCTAGTAGCGGGGAAGAAAAAGAGCTGGAAAGGATCGAACCTAAAGCGGGTTTTAAATCGGATGTGTGGAAGCATTTCGGTTTCTTTCTAAAAAGATACGAAAAAGGAGAAAAGGTGACAGACAAAGAAAAAAACAATATGCAGGCACTGCCAGACTGTGGTGAAATATAAGTCGGGGAATACGACTAATAACAGTCATGGAGACTGCAGAACTCAGCACACTTGTTAGATTGATGCAGACATTGACTTGTACCGCAAAGAGACCTCTATCTCACTCATGACTTGTCCTCTCAAGTGGTGGAAAGACAATGCACAACGTTACCCACTGCTGTCAACCTTGGCTAAATCATATCTCTGTCCCAGAAACCTTTTTCTTCTGTTGCAGGGGACATGCCCAGAGATCCCAGCTTTTACCAGATTATAGTTATATGATAATTTTCTTTAAAAAAAACATCTCTATCTAAGTGAGTGAGTGATTAAATGTTGAATGTGATGAGTTTTCAACAATACTAAATTGAAACTTTATTTTTTTTAAATGGTTTAATAGTTTTTTGTTATTAAAATTGATAAAATGAAGTTCCTGTTTCGAAACTTACAGATAGATGGCTAATTTGTATGTCATTGATATGTTCAGTGCTAAGGTAAATAAACACTTTTGGCACTTTTTTCGAGTCTTTTCATTAGTTTTTTTTTTCCTGTAAATTATTCAATAAATACCGTACCGTGCCATTCATACCGAGGTATTATCGTACCATGAAATTCTGATACCGTTACATCCCTAAAATGCACAAATTAATATTTTTTGTCATTATTGCGAATTTTTACAACAAACAAGCATATGTTTTAATCCATTCATTACCGCGTTCGTGTTTTACCGTCATGCTTTTTTAAACAAACTCTGAAAATAAAAACCGCTAAATTTTGCACTCGAATACCCTGTCAGAAAAGTCTAGTGGCTGAGAATGACCTTTTTACAGTGTCTGCTTTAATGCGAATGTTGTTTTCGTGTGTTTACATAGATGAATACAGTATGGCCATAGTGTAAATGCACAGTACAGTTAGGAGTTTATTGCCACATTAGATATAATAACTTGATATTGTTTCCTTCGGTGATTCACTGAAGATAAAGACCAAAAAAATAACACAACTGGAATAACTACAGCAGTCGCGATCGCGGATCTTATATGAAGCAAGATATCGCGCTGACATATAATGACGTGTGCAGGTGTTGTAGTGCTGTCCCATTCCTTAGCGGTAAATCTTGAAGCCCTTCCGCTTCACACTTTGTTTCAAGGGCCAGAGGGAAGGCAAATGCATAGGGGTACAAAAATAGAATTGGGATTGGGCCTTAATAAACACTGCAGAAATGGCAGTGGTGGTTTATTGACAGCATACAGACACACACAAAACAAAGCTTTGTAGAGAGAGACATTTGCTCTTGTGATGTCACATGCTCCTTTGTATTTAAACTAGTCATTTTTGGAGCTTGATTTAATAAACACTTTTTTTTATCATACAATGACACTTTAAATTATAAAACTTGCAGGATATTTTACTTGTACAAAGATCTCTTTTCTGTCAAAAGATCGAGGCAGATTTAATTTTTCATGTCATGACCTCTTTAGTATTATATGTGAACCATAATAAAATAATAAAAAACATCCATGACATGACCCTTAAAAGTGCACTAGATGCACATTTGAGCATGCCTACTTCATATTGCATGTCAAAATCTGTATGTCAGGTATAGTCACTAATAGACACTTTACTATCCCATGAGGCCATGGTACATGGTCTTCTTAGTTTGAAACAGCTGAGACTGATGATTCATATTTAACTTACTAAATATTTATTCAATTTTCAATCTAAACAGTGAGCTTGAACCAGGGTAATTTGAGTAAAGTAAAACTAAATCTGATACTAAAACTATTGGTCAAAAATAATGTTAACCTAAATAAAATAAAGAAATTCAGCACCTGTAGAAGTATAGATGTGCATCATTATAAAACATCTCTGCATATCTAGGAACATTTAACTGCAAATTTATTTAAATATAAAAAAGTGTGCCTTCATTTTTTATTTCATTTTTTAAGTTGCATTCACATGATTTTGGGTTTATTCAAAGAATTATTTTATTTTTATTACTAGGAGATTTGCAAGACTATAATTACTAAAACTAAACTATAACAAAAAATAAAAAGAAATGTGTTCTCTAAAATTTAATAAATGAATAAACGAAACCTAAATTTTTATTTACAGCAAATTTGAAACATACCTGCCAACACTTTCATTTTTCCTTGGAGTCTCCCGTTTTCAGGCCCATCTCCCGCCACTCTCCTGTTTTGTTATTTCTCCTGGAAAACTCTTGTAACTCCTGGTCCTTAGCTTTTTGATACAGTCAGTAAATCCCCTGGGTTGCCAAACTTGGTATAGTATTTAATCACAGCGGCCGCCTGAAACCTTCTTCTAGTACAGTTACTAATGACGCAGTACACAGAACCCAGTTCTCAACAGTGTTATTCAGACACCTTACCCCAAATACCAATCCCCACACTCTGGGTCTGCCGGATTTTCAGTGACAAATGTTGGCAGGTATGATTTAAAAGAAATAATTAAATATAAAAACTTTTTTTTTTAAAATGCTAAATTATAATAACATTGGCTTTTACCTAATTTTGATTGGTATTTTGGATGTAGCATGAAAGAAAAAAAATGTAATAAATAAATGACTAATGAATTATTTCCTCATTATTTACTCACACTCAAGTGGATCTAAACTTTTTCCTGTTGAACACAAAACAAGATATTCTGAAGAATGTTGAAAAAAAAGCAGCCACTGACATCCATAGTAGGAAGGTTATTTTTTTGTCAGCATATCTTCCTTTGTTTACAACAGAAGATTTGGATGATGAGTAAGATGATGATGGCAGAAATAAATTTAAAACATGACATCAGATGAAAACCAGAATGTTTCAGAATTGCCCTAACACTTGCATTAATTCTGTACATATAGTGGTTGAGTCTGAAGATGACAGCTCTCAAACTTCCACTCCTGCCAAACACACCAGACGGGTTGCAGAGACCCGCCCACAAGCTCAGGTTACCAAACTTTCCAGCCCACCCAAACCAAAACCCAGCAGACCTCTGGACGGGACCAGAACATCGCAGAGGATCGCAAAGCAGCCCATATTGGCCAAATACACATATGTGAGCTCAGAAGAGGAGTGCAGTGACTCTGAGGCCTCTGTAGTCAACGGTTTACTGGACTCTGACTCTGACCAATCAGAGGAGACCCTATCCAAGCTCAAAACTGAGATTCTCTGCTTCTTTCAGTCCGCGTCTGTGGATGAGCTCACACTCATTGCAGGATGCTCTTTGAAGAAGGCGCAGAAAATCACTGAGCTGAGACCCTTTAAAACGTGGAAAGACCTGGTGAGAACTGTGCAAAAATGCTTTATATATGCAGTTAAAGTGAGAATTATTAGCCCTCTTGAATTTTTAACCCCCAAGCAAATTTTTGTCCTCAATTTCTGTTTAACAGAAATAATTATTTTATCTTTGCCATAATGACAGAACATAATATTTTACTAGATATTTTTAAAGATATTAGTATTCTGCTTAAAGTGCAATTTAAAGACTTAATTAGGTTAACTAGTCAGGTTAGGGTAATTAGGAAGGTCATTGTAAACAGTGGTTTGTTCTGTAGACAATCGAGAGAGAGAAATTGGGTGCGCTAACAGTATTGACCTTAAAATGGTCTGTAAAGAATTAAAAGACTACTTTTATTCTAGCCAAAATAAAAAAATAAGACTTTCTCCAGAAGAAAAAATATTATAGGAAATACTGTGAAAAACGTCCTTGCACTGTTAAACATCATTTGGGAAATATTTAAAAAGAAAGCAAAAATTCACAGGAGGGCAAATAAGTCTGACTTCACCTGTATCAAAGAGCCTAGAATCATCAAGAGGCGACACTCTAGTGCGATTTGGGAAACAGCCACTAGATGGCCCGGCGGCCATTTTTGGAATGAAATCTCCAATAGAACAACAGCATATTATAAGTGTGTAAAATAAACTATTAAAAGTGCTGATGATTGTGATAATAAGTGCTGTATTGTCGTCTTTCAGGTTGTGTCTCAGCTTTAATGCGCTTTTTAAATAAATAAACATGAAACAAAGCAGCTGCTTGCCATCGCGACAGCAATAAGATCCAATGGACAGCCGATCACTTTCACTCCAAAATGGTGGAATCCGGGGCTGTTGCTGGGTGCTGCTGTTCAATTGAGTGTTGCCTCTTGGTCATTCTAAGCTCTTTGCCTGTATATACAATCCTGTGCAATATTTTATATTGTATATATTTCTATAATTTACTCACTATCCACTTGTTACAAAACCTGTTTTACTTTCTTCTGTTTACCACAAAAGTAGATATTTTGAAGAATGTTGAAGCCTTCTACAGCATTTTTACATACTATAGCCATCAATGGCATCAGTTTCTGACATTCTTCCAAATATCTGCTTTTGTGTTCAACAGAAGAAAGGTTTGGGAACACTTGAGGGTGAGTAAAAGGTGTGCACATGTCACTTTTCTCTGCAACTGCCAGAACATTTAGGTTATGATCAAAGAGCAACACTTTCACTCTTCTTTGTCTCAGGATGATGCCATGCGCAGAAGAAACGGTCTGTCCGCTGAGCTCCTGGCAGGATGTCGAGAGGTTCTGAAGGAGAGGGAAGTTGTTAAAGGTCTCATGAGCAAGTGTGAGGAGATTTCAGTCAAACTGATCCAAGACGTGACGCAAGTAATGGACAAGGGCCCGGGCTCCATGACCCAGCCCGAGATCCTCTCTAGCACGTAAGATATTGCATCACAGCTTTGAAAATCGGCTTTATAAGGTGATAGGTTGTAAAATTTCTGTGGCGTAATTATTTTTTTATGGGTTTTTTTCTAGATTCCAGTTGAAACCGTACCAGCTGATTGGCCTGAATTGGCTGGTTTTGCTTCATCAGAACAAACTCAGTGGAATCCTGGCAGATGAGATGGTAATGGAGTACCGGTCTAAATTAATAATATTGGAATCATTTAGGCAATCTCTTCTTATCATTGTGAACAGCCCAAAAAATCACAATAAAATGTAAAAAATTATGAACAAATTCTGTAAAATACTTTACATTTGTTGTATGTAAGCGCTGCGGAAATTGAGATTTATTGCTCAATTTAGGAGAAAAAAATTGATGATATAAATAATAAAACAGCCTATTAAAATATGCATCGAATTGTACAGACACAAACTGCTACAGTGCAAACACTGAAAATTCTGTCATTATTTGCTCACCTTTTACTTGTTTCAAACTTGTTTGACTTGTTGAACACAAAAGAAGATATTTTAAAGAAAGCTGGAAACCTGTATCAATGACTTCTATAGTATTTTGTTTCCTACTTTGCATGTCAATGGATACTGTATTCCAGCTTTCTTCAGAATATCTTGTTAAATGTTAAACAGAATAACGAAACTCCACCTGAGGGTGAGGAAATAGTGAGTATATTACCATTTAGGGATGAACTATCTTGATTAAATGGCATGAAATTACTTCAATGAAAACTCTCAAAACTATTTTTTGGCTCAGTGTCTCACCTTAAGTGATATTATGAATACATCTTAAAGGTTAATTACCACTTTTTATTTTATTTTAGGGTTTGGGAAAGACCATCCAGGCCATTTCGTTCCTGGCTCACCTCTATCAGGAAGGGAACCATGGGCCTCATCTGATCACTGTACCTGCTTCTACACTTGGTAAACAGAATAATTTCAAAGAATAATTCTGTATAACCATCAGCACAAAACCAACTGAATCATCTTAATTTGTTGTCTCTTTGACAGATAATTGGGTGCGGGAACTGAATCTATGGTGCCCCAGCTTTAAAGTGCTGGTATATTATGGTAAAACCAAGCTTCTATATTATATTTAAATTATATATCAATTAAATAAGATTTAGGGAAGACGCAGTTGTGCAGTAGGTAGTGCTGTCGCCTCAAAGCAAGAAGGTCACTGGGTCGCTGGTTCGATCCTCGGCTCAGTTGGCATTTTTGTGTGGAGTTTGCAAGTTCTCCCTGCATTCGTGTGGGATTCCTCCGGGTGCTCCTGTTTCCCGGAGCACAGTTTCCCCCACAGTCCAAAGACGTGGTACAAGTGAATTGGGTACGCTAAATTGTCTGTACTGTATGAGTGTGTGTGTGAATGTGGGTGTGGAAGTTTCCCAGAGATGGGTTGCGGCTGGAAGGGCATCCGCTGCGTAAAAATGTGGTGGATAAGTTGGGGGTTCATTCTGCTGTGGCGACACCTGATCAATAAAGGGACTAAGCTGACAAGAAAATGAATGAATGAATAAAATAAGATATTAATATTTAGAAAGCATTTTTTTTTGTTGTTGTTGTTTTGTTATGTCTGACTAAAATGTATTCAGTATACTATGGAGCTAATAATATACCAAAACAATCTGAATTTGAATCGGTTCATCTATTCTTCCCTGTTGATGACCCCTGATCAACTTTCTGCTGAATCTGAATTTCACGTTCTGAATTTCTTCATCTTGAAATCTTGAAACTGCATTTTTACAAACTGGATATTTTCAGGCTAGGAATGTAGAACATAAACAAATCTGAAGTTCAAAAATACGTCTGAAAAATTCAGCCTTGGAAAATTCAGTTGTCTTAAATTTCAGATGTTCAATATTCAAGGTCTGAAATTCAAAATAAAAAAAAATTTCATGGCAAAATTAAAATTATGATTTAATAAATTACAATTGTTAATAAATCAAATTAACACAATTCAAATTCAGATTGTTTTGGCTTATTATTAGCTCCACTGTAAACTACTAGGGACATTTGTTCTCAGTTAAAAAGACAATACATTTATTATAATATTTTATATATAATTATTTGTAGAAATATAGGATTCATATTGATATTATAAAATTGTTAATAATGTAATCTATCAAAGGACTGAACAAAGTCTAAACTCTAAAGGTACATGATTGGTCAAGACAACACTGCTGTTATTGGCCTTGTTAGGATGCTAAAATAAGCTCTTCTGTGTTTACACATTTTGGCTGATATCAGTCTGACTGATCTATTCCGGTATAGGCTCTGCTGATGATCGCAAGTACATGCGCTATGAAATCCTCAATCAAATAGTGGAGTACAACATCATCGTGTCCACGTGAGTATCTAAGTTCATGCACTTAGAAACACCCGTGGTTCTTGCCCTGAACCCTGAAAGAAAGAGTCAAGACATCATATCCTTCACAGACCACCTGCATGCTAATCTGAGAAGGGCACCAAACACGGGGTGCCAAGGGAAATATGTATCTTGTGAAGTACACCACACACAAAGCCACAAGCCGTGAAGTCAGCATAGAAAAAAGCACCCATAATAATGATGAATTACTCAGCGTTTGAGTGAACGTGAAAAGGTCCAAGTAAAATGACCCTGCCCCATTCATTATTTATGGTAATGAAACATGGCTGTGCCTCTTGTCCTGCCCCTTAATACCTAAGCTCATTAAGATGGTCTCTTGTGCACAGTTACAACCTGGCCATTGGAAACAGCAGTGACCGCAGCCTGTTCTGCAAGCTCAAGCTGGAGTATGCAGTGTTTGACGAAGGCCACTTGCTGAAGAACATGAACTCGCTGCGCTACCGACACCTCATGGCCATCAATGTAAGATCACCATGAATATTTGTCGTCCTGAGCAACGCGTCAGTGGTCATTAAGAATAAATGGCTTGAGCTCTATTACAGGCACATGGTCTGGTTTTGTAAAAGCTGGGAGCGCGTGTTGCCCAGATGGGGTTAAACTGCCTTTGCCCTCTCGGCCACTCAGGTTTCTCCTCCATTTGTGTCCCCAGGCTAAATATCGTCTGCTGCTCACTGGAACCCCACTGCAGAACAACCTGCTGGAGCTCATGTCCCTGCTGAACTTCATCATGCCCAACATGTTCTCCAGCAGCACTTCACAGATCGCCAAGATGTTCTCCATGGTAGAGCTTACATGAATATAAATATGTCCAGGCATATTAAATAAGCAAAATGGATACCCCAACAACCACTCACCACTGTACTTACTTACTTACTTACCAGTTACATCTTAGCAAAGACTTCACTTACAAAGACTTAGAAAGCTGAAAAGGATACTCAGGATATCTTAGCAACTTCCTAGCAACAGCTCCGCCTTTGCTTAAAAATGATCCAAAACACCCTTGCAAATCACTAGCAACCACTTTACAATAACAAGCACCTTGACAAGCACCTTTAATCTTATACCAGGAACTTGACACTGCCCTAAAAGGCACACAACATTTTAGCAACCACCTGGCCCTTGAAAGCTAGAAAGCAGCCTAACAGTCTATCAACCCCCTGGTCACACCCTAGCACACCAGAAAGCACTCAGAAAATGTTAGCAAACACTTTAGTAGCCACATGGCCATGCCCAAGAACACAAGAATGTACCAAGAATACCTTGGCAACACCCTAATAACCATATAGTCATGCCCTAGAAATTACCCAGAACACCTTAGCAATGCACAAGGAACCACTAACACCAAGAACACATTTGCAGAAGCTTGACAACTACCTTAAATGTCTTACCAGCCACCTGCTAATGCCCTAGAAAGCACACAGAATACCTTAGCAACCCCCTAGCAACCACCTGACCATGCACTTGAAAGCTAGAAAGCACACTCAACAATGTAGTAACCCCCTGGTCAAGCCCTAGTACACTAGAAAGCACCAAGAAAATGTTAGCAAACACTGTAGTAACCACATGGCCATGAAAACACAAGAAAGTACTCTGAATACCTTGGCAACATCCTAATAACCACATAGTCTTGCCCTATAAATTACCCAGAATACCCTAGCAACCAACCACCAACACCAAGAACACATTTGCAGCAGCTTGACAACAGCCTTAAATGCCTTACCAGTCACCTGCTAATGCCCTTAAAGGCACACAACACCTTAGCAACCCCCTAGCAACCAACTGGTCATGCCCCTGAGCGCTAGAAAGCACCTGCAACAAATTAGTTACCACCTGGTCAAGCCCTAGTACACTAGAAAGCACAGTGCACACTTTAGCAACAATCTGACTATGTGGTTATTAGGATGTTGTCAAGGTATTCAGAGTACTTTCTTTCCCGTCTTTCGGATGAGACGTTAAACCGAGGTCCTGACTCTCTGTGGCCATTAAAAATCCCATGGCACTTCTCGTGAAAGAGCAGGGGTGTAACCCCGGTGTCCTGGCCAAAGTCCCTCTATCTGCCCTTACGATCATGGCCTCCCAATCATCCCCTTCCACTGAATTGGCTCTATCACTGTCTCTCCACTCCACCAATAACTGGTGTGTGGTGAGGGCACTGGAGCCGTTGTCCTGTGGCAGCCGTCGCATCATCCAAGTGAATGCTGCACACTGGTGGTGGTGTGGAGAGACCCCCCCTCATGATTGTGAAGCGCTTTGGGTGTATGGCCATACACAATAAATGCGCTATATAAATACACATTACATTACATTACATTACATTACTCTAGTAACCAATGGTCATGCCAAAGAACACAAGAAAGTTCCCAGAATACCTTGGCAACACCCTAGTAACCATGTAGTCATGCCCTAGAACATTGGTTCCCAACCTGGGGTCCGCGCCCCCCCTAAGGGGGGCGCCAGAGTTCACAGGGAGGGCGCGGGAGAGGATAAGTATTGAGGTAGAAAAAGGCATAAAAATGCTCCACTATTATAAAGGGCTTTGCAATTAATCGAAAATCCGATTTAGATTTCGGTTTCAAACGATTATAAAAAAAGCATTAATCGAGATAATTGATTATTGCATCATATTTCGCCACGGTTGTACACGTGTTGCTCTTAAAAGCGCGAAAGAGCTTATGTGTGTATGCAGCACGATCACGCAGTCAGAAGCATGCGGCCGCTCAGCATTCGCTCTCATTCACACACTGAGACGAGCAGAGGAGCGCAGACATCTAAAGTCCTCTTAACGTGAGCGCTTTAATGGTCAAATAGGTGTCAAAACGCGGTGTTTAGTGATTATTTACATTAACACTCATTTGTGTAATAAACAAACGAGTTGAGGATCAAAAGACGTGAAAGAGAAACCATTAAAGAGACAGCGAGAAATATTCCTGCTACCGCCTGTTTTTATCATTATTAAACCAACATAACGAGAAAACCCTCGCTGCTCTTGACTGAAGGAATGCTGTAGCTAAAGTGTTTTTCTTACAGTGAAGATGCTTAAAGCACAGTTTGTTTCATTTTTTATTCTATTGTATTTATTTCTCTTTCCTTTGCAGGGTGGAAAATAACTGTATGTATACACTTGAAGTCAGAATTATTAGCCCTCTTGAATATTAGCAAACCCTTTCCTGCCCGATTTCTGTTTCATGGAAAGAATATTTTATTAACTTATTTCTGAACATAATAGTTTTGATATCTCATTTCTAATTACTGATTTCTTTTTGTCTTTTCTATAATGACAGCACATAATATTTTACTAGATATTTCTCAAAATACAAGCATTCAGATTAAAGTGCAGTTCAAAGGCTTAATTAGAGTAATAAGGCAAGTCATTATGACGGTAGTTTATTCTGCAGACAATCAAAAATATATATTGCTTAAGGGGGCTAATAATATTGACCTTAAATTGGTTTCAAAATATTTAAACCTGTCTTTATTCTAGCTAAAATAAAACAAATAGAAGAAAAAATATTATAGGAAATACTGTTAAAATTCCTTGCTCTGTTAAACATAATTTATAAATATTTATAAAAAAAAATCTCAGGAGCGCTAATAATTTGACTTTAACTGGCAATGGTTTTGAATAATCGTGATTACAATCATGACCAAAATAATCGTGATTATGATTTTTCCCAAAATCGAGCAGCCCTACTATTATATATGTATTTTTAAGTACCAAAAAATAAAAAATAATCTAAACACATGCTTAAAATTCCAACACAATAGTGAAAATAATTAAAATAAATAACTTTAAATAATTATTCAAATTTTGCTCACTCGCGCAATCTGCTTGTCAACGTGTCGTAAAGGCAAAATCAAAACAAAAATGGCAGACAAACGTCTGTGATGCAGTGATTCTTCAGAGGCGAAGAAAAAGATTAGACAGTATGACAGCCTACCTAAATTTTGGTTTTATTGAAGGCCAAGACAAGATAAAACTGATTCATTAATATTTTCTATACATATTACTATATATTAATATTACACAAACACACACACACACACACACACACACACACACACACATATATATATACACACAGTACATATGTGTGTGCGTGCGTGTGCATTTATATGGTGGGGGGGCTCCAATGTTTGTATACGTTCATGGGGGGGGCCCCAAAGAAAAAGGTTGGGAACCACTGCCCTAGAACACTAGAAAGCATCCATAACACTTTAGCAACCACCTGGCCATGCCCTTGAAAGTGAGAAAGCCCCTGCAACAATCTAGTTACCACCTGGTCAACCCCTAGTGCACTAGAAAGCACACAGAACACTTTAGCAACGCTTTAGTAACCACATGGCCATGCCCTAGTACACAAGAAAGTACCCAGAATACCTTGACAACACCCTTATAACCACATAATCATGCCCTAGAAATTACAACCACCTTAAATGCCTTACCAGGCACCTGCTAATGCCCTAAAGGGCACACAACACCTTAGCAACCCCCTGCCAACCACCTGGCTATGCGCTTAAAAGCTAGAAAGCACCTGCAACAATCTAGTAACCCCCTGGTCAAGCCCTAGTACACTAGAAAGCATGGAGAACACTTTAGCAACACTCTAGTTACCAATGGTCATGCCATATAACACAAGAAAGTGTCCAGAATACCTTGACAGCACCCTAGTAACCATGTAGTTATGCCCTAGAACACTAGAAAGCATCCATAACACCTTAGCAACAATTTAGTACCCACATAGTCACACTGTACAGCATTAGAAAGCAACCTGAACAGCTTAGCAACACCCTAGTAACCACCTGGCTGTGCCCTAGAAGGCTCCCACAAAACTCTAGTAACCACCTGGCCATGCCCTGAAACACTAGAAAGCATAGAGGACATCTTAGCAACACCTTAGTAATCACTTTGTCACACCCTAGAAAACTAGAAGGCACCCAGAACACCTAAACAACTCTTAGAAATCACCTTGTCACAATTTAGAATGCTAGAAAGCATTCATAACTCCTTAACAACAACCTAGTAACCACCTGATCATGCCCTCAAACACTAGAAAGATCACAGAATGCCTTAGCAACACCTTAGTAACTATCTGGTTATGGACATAAGCAACCATCCAGAGTGCCCTAGAGTCAAGGCAGGCACCAAATCCTAAAGTAAAAATGTAGTTCCAGATATATCTGTTTCCTGCAGAAATCGTCAGAGGAGCAGAGCAGCTTTGAGCGGGACAGGATCACCCATGCCAAGCTCATCATGAAACCCTTCATCCTCAGACGTGTGAAGAGCGAGGTGCATCTGCATACATAGTCTATAAGCGTTGTGCATAATGCATGCGCTCTCAGAATGCATGCCAATGTGAAAATCTGTTGGACAACATCTCAAATGCATTATTCAGTCTCATGAGCAGATGAGGCACTTTGCTTGTCATGTTGACCCTCGATGACTCTGGGGCACTCGAGTGGTTCACTGACAGATGATGATGTGCCCGACAGGTCCTGAAGCAGCTGCCTGCCAAAGAGGAGCAGGTTGAATTTTGTGCCATGTCCGAGAGGCAGCAAGAACTCTACAGCGCCCTTCTCCACAAGCTGAAGCATTCTAGTAATGGGGAAAGTATGTATTTGAGGAAGGTGGTGTTATTAAAGAGACTGGTAAATGTGACCCGTTTCATAACCTTGGGTTTCTGCAGAACGCGAGCTGACCAATGTGATGATGCAGCTGAGGAAGATGTCCAACCATCCGCTTCTTCACCGGCAGTTTTACACCACAGAAAAACTCAAAGCCATGAGCAAACTCATGCTCAAGGTCTGAGATATTTTCGTATGAAGTGCTGCATTTTGATTAATGCCACAGGACAGTTAGATACTAGCAGGGCCAGACAGAATTGGTGGCTGTTTTGTATTTTCTGTGCTGATTTTAAGTAGGTCAAGGGAGCCAGACGTTTGACTATTGCATGAAGTCTGGTACAATTTTTGGTTTATTCAGCCCAAGAACCATTTATTTCTGCAGGGAGAGGCATGCGTTTTAAGCCTAGTTTAGGAGACATTTTTCTAGAGTAGATTATGCCTCGAAACTAGGTCACCGTGGAAGATACAGTTTTACAGAAAATAGAAGAAAAGAAATTATTTATGATTATTAATATTATACAACAATAATCACATTTGAGCAACAGTATAAAATATTATAATTCATGACTTATTGGATGGTTATTTTTAAATATTAACACCAACAAGTAAAAATAATTGTTATAATTTATATTAAAGGTGCAGTAGGTGATCTGCCACAATGCTAAGTGGTTAGCATAATAATAAACACAGTCCCTCCCCTGCCGTCCAAAGCCATGCCTCCATGAACACGCACATCAAAGATGACCACAGACAACCCACTAGATCATGTCATTCGCCAGTTAGAAAACTTTAGAGTACTTTATAATACTGCAATTAAATCTAGCACGTTTTCAGTTGTGTAAGTGGCCAGCAAAACTTGTCGTAATGTGCAATATTTCATGCATGCAAGGGTCACTTATGCACTTTGTCCTAAAGCCACTACTGTATGCTTAGTGGTTGGCCATGGCGTGCAGAAATTACACTTATTACTAAGCCATACTTACATGCTATCTCAGATGAATATTCAAAGTAGCATGATAAACAATATAGAGAGCGCATCACAGGATGTCATTGTTCAAAAATGTACCAATGTGATGTGAATATAAAGCCAATTTCAGCTCAGTAAAGCAGGCTTGGCGGAGTAGTGCTATTGACTTATGTTTTGTTGTTAAATTAAGATTTCAGTGGCTGAACAACACTTCTGTGCATATAATCCATTCATAACACAACAAAATCAGCTTTGCGTGACTAAAATAGTTTTAAAACATAACATGACCTGTCTAAAAGAAAATACTTTAGCCATGGTGTCATCCTTCCTCCAGCCTGCAAAAGTAACTCCTGTGCTAATGGCGGATTTGCGTGAACAGGTGCGCAAATCTACAAAACTACATTTGTTGACAGACAGTTTTGATTTACTTATCAAAATTATGGAATTGTCGGGCCGACAAATTTGAATTGGAAGAACATGTTTTAGTTTTATACCTTATTCAAAATATAAAAGTACATATAAATACATTTTAATCATACACTTTAATCATTACTATTGGAATGTGAAGAGACTTTAAACGAGCACATCAAAAAAAGTTTTGGAGACAATCACCTACTACACCTTTAATATTATTATTAGTAATAATAGTAGTATTTAATCAATGATAATTTAATCAATTGCAAAGCAGTACAGGTCTCCAAACAAGTGTAGCAGAAAATACCAAAAAAATAATGTCAAATATATACCATTTATACTTATTATATTACTATTTATTGTGTTTACCTAAGGATTGCTCGTGAAGCTTATTTCTGGTCACATTAGTCCAGCTGTAGATCAAACAATTATTCATTTAATAATAATAAATAAAATAATAATAATAATAATAATAAAATAAATTATTAGAATAAATTTTAAAAATAACAATAATAATAATTAACAATAATTAAAAGCTGTGCGTAACGAAGATCTCTGATCAACATGTTGCCATTTTATTCTGTAAAAATATCACTGAAAAGCACTATTCATTCATTAATTTTCCTTCGGCTTAGTTCTTTATTTATCAGGGGTCAGCACAGCGGATTGAATAAATAAATAATAAATAAGGGGCGTCACGGTGGCGCAGTGGGAAGCACGATTGCCCCACAGCAAGAAGGTCGCTGTTTTGAGTCCCAGCAGAGTCAGTGCTGGATAAGTTGGTGGTTCATTCCGCTGTGGCGACCCCTGATGAATAAGGGGATTAAGCCATAAAGACAATGATAAAATTCTAAAAAATAACAATAATGAAGTATATATTATTGTATCAAGATTAAAAGCTGTGCGTAACGAAGATCTCTAATCAACATGTTGCCATTTTATTATGGAAAAAAAATAAGTGAAAAGCACTAGGATAAATCCAGTTTAATTTCATGGAGTAAAAAAGAATGAATAAATAAATAATAAATAAGTTCAAAGAAAAATTGCTCAATCTAGATGTAGTGTTTCATACAGAACTGCAGCAGGGAATGAGCAGCTGATATTTATTTTCTGATATTTATATCTATTGTCCTGTTTTGTTAATTGTGTGTCTTCTACCTATAAAGTCATTGTGTTAATGGGCTGAAATGTTCCAGGAGCCGAGTCACCGTGATGCAGATCCCGCTCTCATCAAAGAGGATATGGAAGTGCTCTCAGACTTTGAGTTACACCGCCTCTGTCAGCAGTATTCAGCACTGCACGAATACCAGCTCAACACAGACGTACTGCTGGACTCGGGCAAGCTCAGCCTCCTCACACAGCTGCTGAACTCCCTGAAGGAAAAGGTTGGGGAAAACAGATTCTGTTATGTTCCGCAGACCAAATTACATTTTCAACAACTCCTCCGAGTATAATGAGTTATTTAACTGCAGAGAAATATACTGAGTTCCAAATTACTGCATACTGTCAAAAACAGAAGCAGGGCATATAGGTTTTTGACTTTCTCATTTGGAACAAAAGTAGATGTTTTGTAGAATGTTTCTCATTTCCACATAGTAAACTGATCTTCATGTTGTCAGATTATAGTGTAGTCACATTCACTGTTTTATTCCACGCAGGGTGACCGAGTGGTGCTGTTTAGCCAGTTCACAATGATGCTTGACATTCTGGAAGTGTTTCTTAGACACCATAAGCACAGATACAACCGACTGGATGGTTCAACCCCCATGAGTGACAGGTAAACACATTTATTTTTGCAGTATTGCTGAGGATTCACCTCATGTGCAATCGATATCAGCTACACTGATGAGCCAAAAACGTCATTAGCAGTCACAGGTGAAGCAAATATCATCGATCACCTGCTAATAAGGCTGCATATTAGGCTCTGGATGGATTTAGATGGTAAGCAATCAATCAGTTCTTGTAATAAGCATATTGGATGCAGGAGAAGGGAGATCTGAGGGTTAAATTGTTATGGTAAAGTATCTCTGTAGTGTTTAGGCTTGGTTGCTGCCGGTTAGCGGTGGTCTGAGGAAGACCAAAGGTGTTGGGCTTCCAAGGCTTACTTATGCGAAAAAGGTAAAAAAGACCATTTCTGTCTGGTCCTGACCAACAGAAGGCCTAATGCTGCACGAGTCACACATTTTATTGACTGTTATGGAATTATGTGTCACAGCACTGTTTATCACACGTGTATTACTGTCTGCTGCAAACTGAGGAGTATCTATAAAGGCTTTTGAACTGGGTAGTTATAGGAACTCATTTATAGGATCTAACCACCAGACCCAGTTTCCATAGAATAAATTTCCCCAGATCATTTTCCTGGGTGCATTTGCACTAACAATAGGGGAACTGTGAAAGACACTGTGGTCAAAGCTGGGAAAATGTTTGTCCAGTTCAAAAGCCTCTTAAGATGAGACGTGTGCACTTACAATGGGCACACAAGTGTTGTATCTGGACCAGGAAACACTGTAAGAACACTTCACTCAGTGTGATTTTCTGCTGGGAAATCTTCACAATAAATTCCCAAAATGGCGAATACTGCCTAGTTACATTGTTACAAACCCATTAGTGGTGTTTCTTGGAGGAAGTTGGCTCTTTCTGTAGGATCATGCTATCTGCACAGCATTACATTACATCATTTCATCCTTCTGGAATGATTTTGTTTGAAGAGCATAATTAAAAGTTAAAGTTATGTCCTGGCCTTCAAATTCTTCAGATCTCAATTCAGTTAGACCAACAAGTTTGAACCACACCAGCTCCACCCAGCCTCCAGGACTCCATCTAAAGTCTGAAACGAACATGGCTGTTGTTATTTGGGCATGCGCCAGTGGTGTACCGAATCACAAATCTCATGGTTCAGATCTCATCATGATTTTTAGAGCGTACTCTCACTATGTACAATTGTCTTGAACCGGGCCAAAGCACGATTGTCCCCCCCCTCCCGTCTCCCTCGATGGCCCGCACTCACATTACATTCGGGCCTGGGCGCGATTACGTCATTGATGCTGCGCTGTTCAGTAAGTGCTTTCGCTCAGCACAATGGAGATTTCTATAGTTTTATCGTTTAAGTCATTTGATATGCAGTGACACGCAGTCAAATATTTAACCGAAAAGATCAGCCACTTTTGACGCTCATAAACAACCATAAAGTCCTCGTGCTGCAGGAATTATGAGGTTCCAGAGACTATCTAATTAAGAGGTGCGCAGCTATCATGCAGCGAGGGGTTTGCCTTAAAAGTCACGCTTCGCTTTCAATTTCAGGCTCAGGCACGTTTTGCACTCACACACAAGCGTACCGCGCCAAAGCCCAAGCGAACCGCGCTGAGCCTGAATCACTCATACTTCTCAATCCGGGAAACGGGCCTGGGCACGGTTCGGATAGCATAGTGTGAGTAGGCTTTTAGTCACAGATCGGACCATTTTTTGGATCAGCCAAAAAAGGGAGGAGAAAAATGTAATTTGCTTTCCATTTATTACAGAAACAGTACTGCAAGACACTTTTAACTAACAGAACTTAGAACCTGTAATTTTATTAAAAATAAAATGAAGAAATAGTCAGCTAAATAAAAATAAACTAAAATATTCAGTAATGTGAAAAATTCACTGTTACTACAACTACTGTTGCTGATAATGCTAACTATAAACATTTTACATTATAATTTGTACAAGCCATATTTATTTTTAGTCTTAGTTTGAATAAATGATTCAGTAATTCACATATAAAACTTGATGTTTCATTGATAGATTTATTCAGTGGCATATTTTTGATGGCTGGTTGTCACCACTTATTGGTCATATAATGTAACTGCTGTCTACAACTTTCATTTTTGAGCACCAAGTAAAATGCATATGATAGTGATTTTAAACTTTACCATAAACATCAGTGGTTATAGCTAAACTGTAGACTGTTATTACCGTACTTCTGTGTTATTTGATTGTTTCATCAACTTCATAACTAACTCAAAAGACTAAAGACTAAAACTTTTTTTTTATTTTTGCGCTTTTCAAATACAGATTTGAATGCAGTAATATGTAAATCACTATCTTTTATAATTTATGTTGCATGGGTGTTGAGACCCAATCTTTTAAGGATTAATCATGCAGCTTACACTAAATGCATTGATGCAGGTTAAACAAGTAGTGACAGAAAACACCTTTAATAACCTAAGAAACCCACCACATGCTGAATAACCTACCACTAGTTCTTCCGTCATCATTATATTTTACAGGAAAACCTAAATGCTTTCATAAAAATGATTTGATTGAAGTGAGAGGGGATCTCTGCGATCGTTACAAATTTAAGATTAATCTACAAGTAAAATAAATGTCTCTTTCTGCATGTCATGTTTGTTCCGGACGACGGTTTGTGGTTCGTACAAATCAGGGATCAATCATGATCCGTTACACTCCTAGCATGCTCTCATTCATATAGCATCATTTCTGTGATACTGTACAACAGTAATTACGATCTTTACATTACCGTTAGGGATAGGTTTAGGTTTAGAGTAGGGGCAAATGCCACTAAAACACAGTGTAATTGGTAATTTAATAAATAATATAAAGAAATCATGCTGTTGTAGCAGCACACAAAGGACCAACAGCATATTAGGCATGTTTTGGCTCATCAGTGTATGTCCTTCTATCATTGGCCTATTCATTGGCCTAAGTCTAGACTCATGACAGTGGTAATGTTAGCAGATTTGTGACGAGGCAGAACTGATGCTCCTCGTGTCATAAATCAAGGATCGAGTCTCCTTCACTGACAAAGCGTTCTCCAACCATGTCCTTTGTCTGTTTTGGAGTCACAGAAACACACAATAGCCTGCTCAATCTAGCCAAGAATCAAAATTTAGACAGGAACAAAATGTTTGTGAGTGAGTTTTTGTGTTATGATTAAGGTAGCTGTTCTGTTTGCTGTTTTGACCTTGAATTTAAAGGAATTGTTCTCCAAAAAATGAACATTCTGTCATCATTTACTCACTCGTTCAAAATGTATTTTAATTTCTTTCTTCGTTTGAACACAAAAGAACATATTTTGTCAAATGCTGATATCTCACACACACTGACTGAGTTCAATGGTAATGTTTTTTTCTATGGAACTATGGAATTTAATGGGTGCAAGCAACCAGCATTCTTCGAAATATCTTCTTTTGTGCTCAAAATAAGAAAGAAAATCATAAAGGTTTAAAACCACATAAGAGAGATTAAATAATGAGGTAATTAAAATTTTGGGGTGAGCTAACCCTTTAATGGATAAATGGATGCTATAATTGTTTAGTATTTGGTTATCAAATTATTATAATATATTACTACTATGTAAGTTTTATTTAATTTATTGATAGAATGCATTAAAATATAAAATGTGATTACAATTAAAAATTAGTTTTATTTATGTTATCATCTATAGTCATTTTTAAAATAGATGAAACCCATTAAATATCCAATATTGATTTGCATACATTTTTAAAAAGCTAAGGAATTGGCTAATAAACAATACAGCACCAATATATTGAGTGTTGTGATATTCACCTAAATTATTACTGTGGTAATAACAAAAATTGAACTACGACAAAAATTCAAAATAACCCAGCAAACATAAATCTGTTTTATTAATGCTGTTCAACATCCAGTTCTCCCATTATCGTGTTCTTTGCAGAAGCACTTAACCTCATGATCCACTGGGACTTTTGCAACTGTTAGCATCCTGTAAATCACTTCAGATGAAAATCTAAATGCTAATTAAGTGAATGGACAGTAACTGTAAATCTCATCGGGCTTTTACAGAATTGGGCTGATTGACCAGTTCAACACAGACCAGGATATATTTGTGTTCCTGCTGTCCACCAGAGCCGGAGGGCTGGGCATTAACTTGACTTCAGCCAATGTGGTCATCCTTCACGATATCGACTGCAACCCTTACAATGACAAACAGGCAGAGGGCCGCTGTCACCGGGTCGGACAAACCAAGTAAGAGACGCAGAACACAGTACAGTTTTTTTCATTCTCATATTACATTACTACCCTAAACCTGGAAAAGCAGAAGTAATCTAGATTACGTAATCAGATTCCAAAAAGCAAGTATGTTTAATTAGAGTAAGCTACTTTTTAAATACTTGTAATCAGACTACATTTATTTTTGATGGATTGCCTGATTGCATTTTACACAGTGCCAGTAATTCATTCAAAATTAATTAATTCTCCATATTGTTCTCTGTTTTTAAAGGGATAGTTCACCCAAAACTGAAATATTCTGTCATTATTTTTTCACTCTTACCTTGTTACAAACCTATTTGACTTTATTTCTTCTGTTGAACTCAAAGGAAGATATTTTGAAGGAAACTGGAAACCTGTAACCATTGACTTCCATAATACTTGTTTTCCCTGCTATGATTATCAGTGGTTACGGGTTTCTAACATTTTTCAAAATATCTTGATTTGTGTTCAACAGAAACTCTTAAAGGACAGTATATTGTGAGTCAATTAAAATGTTTAGATCAGGGGTGTCAAACTCAATTCCTGGAGGGCCGAAGCCCTGCACAGTTTAGTTCCAACTCACTTACCTGTAGGTTTCAAACAAGCCTGAAGGACTCAATTAGTTTGATCAGGTGTGTTTAATTAGGGTTGGAACTAAACTGTGCAGAGCTGCGGCCCTTTTGGAACGGAGTTTGACACCTGTGCTTTAGATGAACTGTCCTTTTACAGGGTGTCCGCTGAGTCTAAAAAAGTATTAAAAGTTGATAAATCAATTATGTAAATATTAAGGCCCTTAAAAAGTATTAAAGACTTTGAAAGGCTTTTATGAGGTCTTAAATTTTGTTCAAGCATTGTTCAAAGTGTTTGACTCCAAAAAAACATAAATATATGGATTTACCTCGATCTAAGTGATTGGTTTGGGCCGGGCGCGGCCAAGCTTCTCTGTCCGGGTGAATTCATGTAATTTGCGACAATGTGGGAAGGTGATAGTCTCCCCGTATAGTGAAACAGACAGCAAAATTGGAAAATGTAAGTTTGCGTACTCAGGGTTGGAGCAAGACGAGTTTAAACAGTGGCTGAAGCCAGTTGCTGAAAACAATCGCGTCATTTATTCTTTCAAGCTTTGTTTCTTCTGAGCTTATCTGAGTTCTGTTTCGTTGATTTATTTAACTACAGCTGTTTATGAACAACTGTTTATTAAGGTAAAGGTTTGATACTTACTAAAACTTGAAATGGCAATGAGGTCTTAAAATATTTTGTGAAGGTCTTTAAAAAGTCTTAAAAAGATATTGAAATTACCTTTAGGATTCCCTGCAAATAGCCTATTTTATTGTTTGTTTTTTATAATAAACCTGTTTCTTATACACATATGTGACTCTTCATGTTTTTATTGGTGGAGTGGAGCAAAAAAAAAAAAACACCTACAAGAAATTATGTAATAGTAACAAGGGTTGTTTGATCTCTAGATTTATTGTTTGATGGCTTTATTGGATTCTGTCATTTGCACTTCTATAGTGTTTTTGAATAAATATTTGATGTAACAGAGACATTGCTGCAAATTTCATGTTTATTATATGGCTTTAGTAATATTGTGGGTTTAGTAGATTTACTTAATTTGAAGTAAATGTTTTAAAACCAGAGGTTGTATAAGATAAATAAGATATTTTGTTTTATTTAGTGTTACTGTCAGCAAAGTATGGGCTGTTAGTAATGAAGTATTAACTTTCCATATATTGCTCTTTTAAAATAAGCTGTTCTTGATCTTGTTAGCGATTAAGAATGGAATAATTGTTTTACTTTTATATCTGTCAAAATAATACAACATTATCCTACTTCTATATACAGTATGTGACATCAGCTAAGTGTTAGCACAATCTGAACGTAATCCAAACGTCACCATAAATGAGTAATCTAAGAGATTATAATACAGACTACAAATGTAAAACTAGTCATAAACTACTTGTAATCAGACTACAGTTACTTTTGTATGAATTACCTAATTACATAATATTACATAATTTGAACACAATTCATTTATTATTTTTTAAAAATGTATATTTATAAATAGTAATATCCTGTCAATTAATGTGACATCCACGAAGTTTAGCACAATCTAAATGTAATCCAAAAGTAGTCTGATTTTATTGCCATATACATGTAATCCAGGACAGTGTTTCTCAACCACGTTCCTGGAGGACCACAAGCTCTGCACATTTTCCATTTCTCCTTAATCCAACACATCTGATTTAGATCGTCAGCCCATTAGCAGAGATTAAAAGACTTGAAATGGGTGTGACAAACAAAAGAGACATCTAAAACCTGCAGTGTTGGTGGTCCTCCAGGAACGTGGTTGAGAAACACTGAGCTAGATTATATCACTGACTACAAATTTTGTTGTGTAATTTGTCATCTGTAACTGTTTAGAATTCATGAGTAATCCACCCATCTCTGACCTCATCTGACTGCATTTGTTCCGTTTAAGGACCGTGAAGGTGATCAAGCTGATAAGTAAGGACTCCATAGAGGACACCATGCTTCGAATTGGAGAAAGAAAACTCAAACTAGAGCAGGAAATGACCGCAACTCAGGACGGTGAGAACACTAATAAAGCTGACAGGGATTTTATTTACCTGACCTATGTTTTTCTTTTGTACTGTGAATACAGATATGCTTGTTTCTTTCAGGCGAAGAAGACACATTACCTGATGATATGACCACGCTGCTCAAAGCTTCTCTCGGGCTCTGAAAGTTGGTCCAGGAGTAAAGCTTGTTGTGATACTATGACTGAATCTGAAAGAAAAAGTACTGTAGCACAATAAAATCTGGTTTTCCTACACCACCTGCAGAAATATGCGATTCAAATGAGCTGATTTGTTTACATTTCTACTGTTCATTGCAAAAGATGATGTAATATTGTATGTGTGTTGATGGTGCTTGTATTTGTGAAGGTTTAAATCTGCAGTTGTTTGGTTAAAAAAGTCTGTTTTTCAAAGATATTTGGGGGGGGGATTAAAATATTTGTTTATTTGCTCTTTTAGTCTGAGATGGTTACAATTTTGCTCTGGGTTTTGGCTTTTAAGATTGAGTTTTCTCAATCAGAGGTTGGTGTGGTATCTTTACCAGTCTGGAAATTCTACAAGAATACACTGACTTCCATGGGCCTGGTTAACAAACCTGGCATCAGAAAGGGGTAGAAATGCGATTTAAGTGACTCTGAATGTGGCACTGGTTTTGAAACTATATGGCTTTTCTGAGTATGTCAAAATCTGATCTGCTGGGATTTTCATATAGTCATGTTTGGGATTGTATGAGAAAAGAGAAAAAATCCATTGAGTGGGAATTCTGTGAGGAAATGAGAATGAGCCGAGTGCTTTAAACTCCAAGAAGGCAACATAACTCAAATACAACCAAGGTCTGCGATAATAATAAACAGGCCAGTGTAGTAGTTATTTATATTATATTAAAATAAAGTATCATATTATGGTTTAAGGACCTTGTAATATTTTAGGAGCAGACATAAAATGGGATTTAGTCTTTAAAAATGAATGCGATATGTATACTTCACATATACACTACCTGGCAAATTCTTGTTGCCGCCAAGTTTTAGGAACAACAAATAATAACTTGACTTTTAGTTGATCATTAGATATCAGAAGTGGCTTATTTGAAAGGCAAATGCCTTTAGATTACACTTATTTTACCAAAATAAGATATGATCATGCTTTGATTTTTAATGATCTAATTAGGACAGTGAGTTCTGACTTTGCTCAAACAAAAGTTTTGTCACTAAGCAGAAATAATGTTCAGTATAAATTATAAAGTCACGGTGCAGTGGAAAAATAATTAATATTATGTATGACTCCCATGAGATTGGGGGACTGCATCCGTACATCTCTGCAATGACTCAAATAACTTCTTAATAAAATCATCTGGAATGGCAAAGAAAACATTCTTGCGGGACTCCCGGAGTTCATCAAGATTCTTTGGATTCATCTTCAATACCTCCTCCATCTTACCTCAGGCATGCTCAATAATGTTCATGTCTGGTGACTGGGCTGGCCAATCTTGGAGCAACTTGACCTTCTTTGCTTTCAGGAACTTTGATGTGGAGGCTGAAGTATGATAAGGAGCACTATCCTGCTGAATAATTTGCCTTCTCCTGTGGTTTGTAATGTAATGGGCATCACAAATGTCTTGATACCTCAGGCGGTTGATGTTGCCACTCTGCAGATCTCTCACACTCCATTATACTGAATCTAACCTCGAACCATAATTTGTCCTTCACCAAACGTGACTGATTTCTGTGAGAATCTTGGTTCCATGCGGGTTCCAGTAGGTAGCCTATTCTGCAGTATTTGTGATGATTGGGATGCAGTTCAACAGGTTCATCTGAAAAATCTACCTTCTGCCACTTTTCCAAATAATCAACTAGAAGTCAAGTTATTATTTGTTGCTCTTACAACTAAGATCAAGGACACTTTTGTCAGGTAGTGTACAGTCCTTCATATATTACATAACATACACAATAATAATAATAACAACAATTTATTGTATTTATTGTTACAATTACATAGCCGCAGTCTAACTGTTTTAGACATTTTGAAGGAGGAAGCGTATGTATTAAAAAGTAGTGCTAAACAAATTACGTCTCTGTTGGAGTTCATTAAAAAATCATCTCATGAACAAACTCAGTAAAAGGAGTAATATTTTTTAGGTACAATCACCTGTTAAATCAAGATAGAGATAGTGTTAGAAATACAATAAAATGCTAAAATCAACTTCGAAAAGTAATTATCGAAACCAAAATATCTCTGACGAAACTGCATTGTCGAATCACAAGGTGTCTTCTGCGCATGCGTTTGTTTAAACATTGGCGCCTGTTAGTGCGATCAACATTCATTCATCACTTTCTGTATTAACACGACCGATAAAAACATCAGGTAAACAATCTTTGTGGTTTCCTAACGAATAGCGTAGTTGCGTTGTCCAGTTTTAGATTAAAGACGACACAAAACGTATTTTAAAATGCAAGTATCAACCGTTTTAAATTTGTTGAAAAAGTTTGAGACGCATATTTTTGTCACTAAAAAGACAAGATGGATACTTTTAACGGCGTTTTATGTGTGCTCTACGTGTCTTCCTTTCCCTGACAATCGCTACATTTATTGTTGTTGTTGTGATTGTTGCAGCTGTTGTTGCTGCTGTGCTCTTTCTGTAATGGTGTAGCATCACGTTATACGTCATTATGGGTAAAAAAAACTAAATGACTAAATCTTGCCGTCTGTTTATTTAAACATATAATTAACCCTAGTATTAAAGTATAGACGACTGTCAGACGAGTTCTGTACAAATAACAAGATTAAAACAGGTGATGCTCAGAAAGGACTAAAATATGTAACGTTAGCATTTTTTATGTAAGACGTGTTGCTATAGATGGAGCGTTACTATTGGTATCTGGCTTGTTGCTAAGTAAATGACTTGCATGTTTTGTACTTGAATATGTGCTGTTGCTGAACTGTAATCTTTTAATGTTTTCTCTCTAAAGAGATGAATCACTGCGAGCTTGAAGAAGTGACACAACATATCAACAACAAAATTTCCATGATCAAAAGACTCCTGGAGCTTCGAGCTGTTGGTATGTTGTTGCATTTACTACACCTGTTACAAGACAGAATTAAATATATTTTGAAATATTTTAAGTTTTTTTAATTTATTTAGACCACACTCCTAATTACTTTATCATTTAACCAAAAACGAACCTCCCAAAATAAAGTTTTCCTAGTTAAATTAGCTAATTATGCTATGCTATCAATCAGTGTAATTTTCTCAAGTTTGAAAATGAGCTGCTTTATTTATTGCAAAACCCTCATGGCCAGCAAAAGTCGATTAACTGGTGTAAAAATCCACAATTTTTAGCTTTAATATAATTTATATTACAATAATAAAAAATAAGCATTTATCAGCTAATACTAATATGTCCTCGGATATATTGTAAATCATCAATATAGCTATTTTAAGTGTTGGTCACAGAGACGTGTGTACACCACACTGCTGACATATTACCCAATCAAAACACCATCAGAGAAGCACTATTTATAGGTTTCGATTTCAGTCAATGATTCTGTTTTGACCAGTTTTGTTTAACTTGTAAATCTAAAACATTAAATTCACTCAACTTACTTTTTGTTATTATAAAATATCTGCCTAATTGCTGGTGTGATTATTTACACTGTGTGTGCTTTTTAGCAAAAGATCCAGACAAACGTGGGACTCTTCTCAAAATTGGGCAAGAAGTCAGTGCCATAAATGAGCTTCTTGATCGCTTTGAGAAATATGTGGGCAAGCAAAGAGACTTGCTGAAGCATTTGAAGGTGTGATATTTTCTTTAATATGTATTTTTAATTACTATTTGGCAAGAACAACTGCAATTTACTCAAAATCAATCAATTTGCTTCACAATATGTTTGTTCATTCATAGAGGTTTTTGGATTTTGAAGTTTTCATAATTTTTCCAAACACAACACATGGGTTTGTTTGTTTTTTAAATTGTGGGAACATTCCATAAGTTTCAATTGTTTTTATACTGTGGCTGTATTTTTATGGCCATACTGTATCCCTAAAACCAACCCTCACAGGAAACTGTTAAGTTTTCTTGGGCGGGCCACCCAGGTATATTATCGGCCGTCCAAGTATATTTAGTGACTCTTTTTTTATTATTATTATTTATTATTTTTATTTTTTTACTATTATTACCATCCTTGTACACTTTTTAAATCTGTTCATTATAAACAAACATCCGCAAGCAATTAAATAGTGGAAAATATTCTCTCTTTTACCCGTTTTATACTGCTCATTCTGTGTGAGAGAGACCAGTCAACACTACTACAGACAGCCCCACGTGCTCTGCAAACCCGCAGAGACCCACACCTTTTAGCGTCCAGCCGGGGAAACTTTCGCTTTCGTTTTTTAAGCTGTCGTTAGTTTTTTGCGCACAGTTGCAAGAGCGAGAGAGACATTAAATAATTCATTCTTTAATCTAAATGACTCCGAAAAACTTTACTAAATACATCTAAATTGGCTGCAGAATATTTGTACAGCGTTAGAAATGGGTAATCAACTCATTTGTTTATTTAAATTATCTTCAGGTTTTATTATTGCAATTATTATAATTTCAGAGACTAATTTGATGATATCGATATATTGCATATTTTATACATCTAAAATGATCTAGCAATACTGTAGAACATGTCATGCCAATAAAGCAACCTGAACTTGAATGATAAAGAAGCAGATTTTACCTGTTAGTGAGTGCACATGGCTCCTAAATAGCATAAAAGAGAAATAGTGTGTTTTTAATTTATTTAAAGTCTTTTTTAACTTTAACCCATTGAAAAGAAAGTTTAAAACAGATAGTAATAAAAATTGTGTTAAAAATCTAATTATGTTTTGTTTGTCGCATAGATAGTACAATTCACCATATTCTTGTCATACCTGTGTAATAACCATGTCATTATACACATTTGTGTCTTGATATGTCATAAATACACACAGAAACACACATTTGTATGTATCAGCTTTAATTAATTTTTATATTACAATAACATAAAATAACTCCGGTTTCCCTTTAACAAAGACATGCGCTATAGGTGAATTGGGTAAGCTAAAATGTCCATAATGTATGTGTGTGAATGAGTGTGTATGGATGGATGTTTCCCAGTGATGGGTTGCGGCTGGAAGGGCATCCGCTGCTTAAAACATATGTTGGAAAGGTTGGCAGTAGGCTTGGGCGGTATCCAAATTTTGATACCGTCAAACCGCCTCCATATTTTACCCCGGTATCCGGTATTACCGGCGTAATAAAAAAAAATATGACGTAAGGCTCAGACAGCGTCACCAAACTGTTGGCTTAAGCCTAAACCATTCAGAAACTGAATACCTTCTATGCGACCTTAGGCTCGCGGTCAGAGAGAGAGAGAGAGAGAGAGAGAGAGAGAGCAAAGCGACGCACAGCACCTCTCTCTCTCTCTCTCCCTTTTACACACACACACACACACACATCTCTCCCGCGATTTATTCAGAAATTTACTCCCACACCGTAAGAAATCTGGCCGGCTCCCGCGGAACAGCAGTTATACCCGATAGGTCCCGAGTCCGACAGGTACATTTTGATTGACAGCTTTATATAGCCCAAACCCGTTCACAGCCTACATTAAAATGTGCTCATGCACACAGCTCTAATGCATTTTTTTCAAGAATGAGTCATTTATATGTTTTAACATCATTTATTCGTAACAAGCGTAGACTATAGGCCACTTGAAAGTTGGAACAAAGAAATAAAATAAGTCCTACCGCTGTAACATCGTAACATCTCAGCACTCTATAGGTCTAGGTACACTTAGCCTTTAAATTAGCCTACACACTAATGAAAAGTAAACTTGCTTAACATGAATGAAAATGAATGAATAACATAAAAATACTTTTACATAAAAAATACTTAATGTAATGGTAGAGTGCATGGGTGCCCAACCCTGTTCCTGGAGATATACCTTCCTGCAGAGTTCAGCTGCAACCTTGATCAAACACACCTGATTTTAATTAGTAAGTGCTCTTTCAAGTTAGTTTAGTTGTATTTGATTAGGGCTAGAGCTAAATTCTGCAGGAAGGTAGACCTCCAGGAGAAGGGTTGAGCACCTCTGTCATTGTGTAAACAAACTCTTAATTGTGCATGTTTCATTTTACTCTATCTTTAATATATATTTTTTATTTTGCCAACAGGATCTAGAAGGTTTTTTTCAGGAGGATGAACAAGATGCCTATCACCTTAAGAACAACACCCCTCCGCACATGCCAAAAAGAGGCCAGCAAGCAGCTCCACAAGGGTATTTCCCTGTTTTTGTGCTTCTTTCCCAACATTACCACTGTGAGATGATGCCTTACTGTGTTTGCTTCATCGTTAAGAAGGCCCACAAATATCTGAAAGCAACATGATCAACACCTCGACCTGTTTGACTGAAACAGATGAGTTTGGCTCTTTGTGTTTTGTCATCAGAGGAGGACAGGTGGCAGTTCAGAGCAGGCAGACAGATGCGCCAGCCGCCCCTCAGGAACAAGGGCCGCCCAGGAAAACTCAGCGCAACCAGATCAAAGAGATGGAGTTCATTACCGTCCCTGAATTTGACAGCATACCACCGTGAGTCCTTCCACATCTTTCTAAACATACACTGGAGAAAACATAGTAAAGGAATGTAAACAATAGCTGTGTTTCAAAACTCAGTGAGCACCTTCCTAGACAGGCTTGTAGGTGGTATCCTGCTGTAAAGGCTTTTTCCTGAGCTACTGTGTTTTGCCCTTCCATAATACATGTGCTCAAAAACAATTGGAAATTCTACATAAAATGGACCATTTTACCAAATATTTATAAATCTTATAAATTGTTTGTTGATTATGGGATGTTGTTAGCTTAGCAATATGTTAGCACCCAACCTAGCAACCTTGGTTCTATAAGAAAATTGGCATTTAAGAGTCCACACTTAGATATTGCTTGATTATATTAGCAGGTTTAGCATGCTATCCCAGGAGAGAACCCTGAGCTCGGAGATAATTGAGCCCAGGGCTCCCGCCTGGTCAATGAACATGTAAGGGGGTTCGAGATTAGGTAGTTCTCAAGAGCTCCTCCTGGTAAAGGGAGGAAAAGGGGGGGATGGGGTGGATGGGTGGATTCTTCAAAAAAAAGATAAAGGAGTAATACTAGTCGGGCTATTTATACTAAGTTTGAAATAATTCAATTAGCTTACTAATGATTACAGGTGAGAGTCCAACCGCGATCAATCATATCACATGCTCCTCGAAACTAGTTTGTGAAACTTCACTTTGTTTTTTTGTCGAGATTTTAGAGAGTTATAAAAGATCAAACCAGTTACCAGACAAAATGTTTTAATAAGAAAACTACAATCCCGCGAAGCATAGCATATTAGATGTTTAAAAAATTAAATATTTAATTTGCTGCATTAATTGTTTGAGGTTGTATATAAAGAAAGAATAAATGTTATGTTTATGTAGAATTTTCATAAATATATATGTATGAGTTGGCACACTTTGCTTGTAGCGACTCTGATTGGTAGAATCTTTACTGCAGCATGATGGGTAATGTTGTTTTTACCTGAATCCTACTTTTAAACATGACTTATTTGTTTTCAGTAATAAGTTAACAGTTCTTTTTTTAATTAAGTTAACAAGTTAACAGTAATAATTTAACAAACTAACAGTATTAAAGAGATAGTTCACCCAAAAAATTATATGTACTCACTATGTACTCACCCTCAAGTGGTTCCTTTATGTGTTTATTTAGTATGTTGAACACTAAAGCAGATATTTTGTAGAAAGCTGATAACCCGAATCCATTGACTTCCACAGTAGGAAACCCAAACAATATAGAGGTCAATGGTTACAGGTTTCCTGCTTTTTTTCTAAATATGTTCTTTAGTGGTTATTAGAATATAGGGCTGCACGATATTGGAAAAATCTGATAATGCGATATTTAATTTTTCTGCTATAAATATTGTGATATGGACACAGTTTCATGAGATAGTTTGAATAGAACTAAATTATAAAAAATGCTTTTTCAATGTTTTGTCTCGTTCCTAGTCCAAGTATGAAAAATTGTTTTGTTTTCAAATTAAGAAGAAATAAGTCAAAATTAGGAGTATTTCCTTAAAACAAGTGAAATTATTGTTTGGGCTACAAACGAGATAAAAATTATTTTTTCCATATTCCATATAAATTCAGTGATTAAATGCAATTCTGTAGCTCCTACTCAACTATAATCCAGACTCAACATTGCATATCTTTGCGATGTGACTATTCCGGATGCGCATATTGTGATATCTATGCTAAAACGATATAATGTGCAGCCCTATTAGAATACATCACTAAAAACTTATAAAGGTTTGAAACAAGGAAAGGATGAGTAAATGGTGAAAAGTTTTTCATTTTTGGGTGAACTATCCCTTTAACTAAAGCATAATGCATTATTTAGCAACTTAGATCTCAGTGTTTTTTGTCATTAATATGTTATTGTTTAATCAGTCAAATTAGTTTTAGCCATTAATGTGGGTTGAGTGTCACAAATTGGTTTATTATGGCGTTTAATCTTAGTTAAGGATAACTGCTGTCCAAAATATCTAAGCAGTAGACAAAAAAAGAGCTTTCTTGGTTTTGAAACAAGAACGCCACAACTGACCAATCAGAATCAAGTATCCTATAGAGCAGTTTAAAATTTGCATGTTGTTTACTGAGTTTCTGTCTTCATCCTCACTTGTTTCTGTCACAGGTACATGAAAGGGCGCGTAACATACGATCAGCTGAACGCAGCAGTACAAAGCATCAACACAGCCGTGACCTCAAAATATAAAATCCTCCATCAGCCAGTCAAGACCCTAAACAACGTGTCTCGCTCGCTCCAGCAGCGCTTTAAAGATCAAGAAACAAAAGACACCAAAGGTATCACAGTTTTATCTGTCTGTCTGTTGCGGAGACGCTGATCAAAGGCTCTTTTTTTTTGACCTCCGTTAGCTCTGCAGTCCATCATCATATTAACAGTCTTGTCATTTTGAGAATTGGTAGTCTGCTGTTTGCTCCAGAAAACTATTAACGCCACAACTGCTGAAATAAGTGCTCTGATTATTGAGGTCGTTTATCTTGGTCTGGTGTTTAATAAGCACTTAAGGGCTGAAAGATATCATCCATCAACCTCCTTTGTCTTCCACAGGTCATTTTTTTGTCGTGGAGCAAGACATCAAAGAGTTTGCCCAGCTGAAGGTGGACAAGCGGTTTGTGGGCATGTTGAACATGTTACGCCACTGCCAGCGTCTGAAGGAGGTCCGAGGCGGTGGTCTTACACGATTCATCTTGTTATAAAGACGCCCACATCCCTGCGTTTAAAAAGCCACTATGGACAAAAGGTTTTCAGTGGAATGAACATCAATGTTTATGTCACCAAAAACAGACCATTTCATACTGGTGGTGTTTCTGCAGAGAAGAGAAACAGAGAAAGGATTTCATGTTTAAATATGCTCTGTTATCTGTCTTGTAACAGAAATGTCAAAATTGACACATAGTTTATTTAAAGTGTTAAAATAAGCTGTAAATGTTTCAGAATTTATGTTTGATGTATAATTTTGTATGTTGGGGAACAAAACCTCATTATTTTGCTGAACAAACTTCTTTCCAATTAATGTCAACAACAGACTTAATTGACTCATAAATTCAAAAGCGCTGTTCTGAAAACCTGTTACTAATTCCCAGCGGTGCCCCATTGTGAATTAGCATTCTGGATTTGGCTTACAAATTGACATTGTGAATTAACGGCCAGGTCACTTTATCTGTGATGATGAAATTATCAATTGATTGCTGTTTTATTTATCTTGGTGGAAAGTGCAGAAGTGTTGGAGCTCTAATAAAATTGTATTTTTTTGTAACCTCATCTGAAATGTCAGTGTCACTTCATAAGCTGTGGAGACTGCTGTATTGACATTTTAGCTTTATTAATTTTTGACACAAAATAATCTGCCTTCATTCACAGTTCTCGAGGGAAGTGTGAAGATGAATTCGGCTTGTCACCTTTACCCTATATTGCCATCAAACTCCTCCAAGCACGAAAAGTTACACATCAACTGTATGTCAGGCATTACTGTTTTTGCTTTGTCATCTTTCCTCTTTTCTTCACTCAGACTTCATAGAGCAACACTTCAACTGACACATACAATGACGGGGGCTTTACGACAACTGGTACTATCACAACTATAAAATTACATGTTACATTATTCAGTTTTCACAAAAGTCTCTTTTTTTTTTTTCCAGACGAAAAGTCCTGTACTTGTTGCAGCCATTTTCATTGCAGGTATTGGAGGGACCTTCCAATACGGCTTCCATATTTCTGTCCTGAACTCCTCGTCACCTGTAAGTACCAATGTTTTTGTTTTTTATAGGGCGATTGGAGGTAATCCATATTAATCAAATGCATTTCTGCCACTATCTTAAAATGTGACATCCTCAAAGGATGGAATAATCAGTACATATCAGGGCTTGTGTGTTGGTGCTAACCTGCGAAGTGCTGTGGTTTAATAAAATGAAACGAATGACACAATCAACTGAGACTTGTGCTTATGTTGCTAGTTCATTAAAGAGCTGGTGAACAGCACCTGCCAGCAGCGCTATGGACACTCTCTGGAGCCCTGGCAACTGTCCCTCATCTGGTCTTTCATTGTGTCTGTTTTCTGCATTGGAGGATTGGCCGGGACACTGTATGCTGGACGTGTGTGTGCGTGCGTGCGTGCGTGCGTGCGTGCGTGCGTGCGTGCGTGTGTGTGTGTGTGTGTGTGTCAAGGGGGTACAATGTTTTGAATGAAAACAGTTGAAACATATGCACATTTCAAAACGAGTAAAGAATATATATATATATATATATATATATATATATATATATATATATATATATATATATGTGTGTGTGTATATATATATATATATATATATATATATATATATATATATATATATATATATGTGTATATATATATATGTTAAATATTTTATTCATAATTATTTATTAGTGTTTAGCTTTACGCATCAGCCAACACATCAACGTCAATGTACTTTAGCTCTTAGTTTTCTAGTTGCCTGTAATTTGTACATTTAACATCCCTTCTGTTTCTGTTGTTGTTTTTAAAATTTATATGACAAATGAATGACATTGCAACCGTTTAAACTGTTTTGAACTTGACTTTTTTGGTATCAATTGACTAGCATGTCAATTATTTGGCAACATAATAGCATGGACAGAGATTCTGACTTCAAATGCAACATACTTTATAGCAGTTGAATCTTAAAACCGTTTATCAGAAGTTCATCACAGTTAGAAAATTGTCCAGATTAGTCTAGATATTTTATAGAGAGTGACGTGTGTTTTTAATCCTCCATAGAAAGACGACTCTGCTTTTGAACAATGTTTTGGCAATCAGTGGAGCCATCCTCATGTTTAGTAAAACCGCGCTCTCGTTTGCTATGGTCATGGTGGCGCGTGTGCTGTACGGCATAAACGCTGGTGCGCCTTTTCTGTATCAACCACATAACTGATGTTTATGCAGGTGTGAGTCTGACTGTCCACACAATGTATATGGATGTATTGGAGTGCGCTCCCAAAATGCTGCGTGGGATGGTTGGTGTGTCTGTATCCTCTTTTGTCTCTTTTGGAAAGTTTATCGGCCAGCTGCTTGGGATCGGGTTGGTCATCAAAAGGAAATGTAATCAATCCAGTTATAACATTTAGTCACCATTTATTCTGACTCGTTTAGTTCCAAACTTGTATGGGCTTGTTTTTTTCTGTTTGAACACAAAATAAGATATTTTAAAGAATGTTGTAAAACCATTGACACCCATAGTAGATAAATACTATCAAAACTATTTTTTTATTTATTTATAAAAGCACAATAACAACAACAGTTGTCGACTTCTGTGCTGAACAACCCCCCAACTTATTTGGGGCCCACCTGGGATTGCCCAAGTGGGGCCCACAAGGATAAGCCCATATGTAAATTCGACACCTACTTGTGACCCTCATAAGCAACCTAAATGGGATTTTCTTTGTTTATGTCTAACATGTTTAATTGCGATGCTTATACTGAATCCGCTTGGGTTTGCCTATGAGGAATCTAATGTATCATGTAAAACTGTCTTAAGTACACATATTTATATTAGATATAATATGTAATGGCTACACACTATATATAGGCTATATTTATATAGACATAAATATATATATATATTTTTTTTCTTTTTTACACCATTGAGCATATTGAGCTGTTTGCCAAATTAAAATCGCAAATGGAATCAAAATCACAAACTCAGAAAAATCACAATTAGATTCTACCCTCCTTGGACAGCCCTATAATAAATTCATAATTATTATTACAAAGAAAGAGTCATAAAAAATGTGTATGTGGCATAATGTACCGCTGTATTGGAGCATCTATATATTGAGAGTTTATATAGGACGAGGTAAAAACAGGAAAGTGTGGGGAGCAAAGCACTGAAATCCGGGTCGCTGTGAGCACTTTAGGGCTGTACAATGGCACACTTGGGCTATTGGCACAGACATCACCCTTTATCTTTAATCTGGATTTATGGACCGTCAATCTCAGAAGACCTCAGCGATCAAATGGATGTATCTGGATTTGAAATATCACAGAAATATTCAGGAGTTGTTAAACTCAGAAATTTAAAAAACAAGCAATACCATTTTAAACCAAAGTCCTTTTTAGGAAAGTTATTTCACTCAGCGGACAACTTTGAAGCGCCTCTCGGGCAGTATGCTCGGGTCCCCTGAGATGAAGAGAGGAAAACCGTGGGTTTTATATTTATGTAGGCTAGAAAAAAATATAAATTTTTGTAATATTTCAATAGATGCTTTTGCTATTTAAACAGTGTGGGGCAAAACGTCAAAATGACTTTTCGCGTCGAACTGAAACTAGCCAACAGCAATTGCGTTGCGCATTGCGCCAAGTGTTTGATGGGGCCCAATGACTTTCCAGCATTCTTAAGAATATCTTAAGAACAGATATAAGAACAGCAGGTTAATCTTCCTGTTACATTTGCTGTGCATGTATTACCCTTCTGAATGCTTGTTTGTACTGTGTGTGTCTCTGTCTGTCTGTCTGTGTCTGTGTGTGTGTGTGTGTGTGTGTGTGTGTGTGTGTGTGTGTGTGTGTGTGTGTGTGTGTGTGTGTGTGTGCGTGTGCGTGTGTGTGTGTGTGTGTGTGTCCCTGTAGGAGTGTGTGTGTGTGTGTGCGTGCGTGCGTGTCAGTGAGGTGTTAGTTAGGTGTTAGACACTGAGCAGAGCTGGATTTGGCTGCTGGCTTTCAGCGGTCTGACACCGCCCTTTCTCCCTGAGTCCCCTAGGTAACCTGCTGCTTGAGAAGGCAGACAAACATGGCTGTGAGACTGGTCAGAACCACAGACACTGTCTCTGACATTTACGCATACATTGATATTTGATACAAGATTCATGAAATCATTTGTTCAGAATATGCCATGGCTTGAAGTAATAGTATTTGCATTGGTCTTGTGAAATATAATGTTTAAACTGACAGTATAGATTCTTCTTTAAAATAAATTAATAATAAATCCGCTTTCTCATGTGACTAAAGTAATGGCACCTGGGCCCAGTTTTTCTAAAGATTTAATCTAGATAAAATTGATCCGGATTTAGTAATCCTTTATTTGCGATCCATGATCACGTAATCAAGCTTACTTTTTGAGCCAACTTTTTTAAAGAAACATCGGATTGGATCAATCTGATCCGGATAGGAACTTTTCTGGATCACCAAATCTGGATAACCAGTGCTCAAACAGGTCACAATGTAGAACTTTAGATATGTAAAGAGCAAAAGGAGAATAGCCAGTGTGGGATCAATATAGGTTTATTTTTATTTGAAATGAAAACACATTTAAAAACAAGAAAAACCCCACCCATCTACTTCCAGCAGTCCACTCATCTGAGACCTACAACAGAAACACTACATTGAGGATATTGAGCACGCATTCTGAGGGAGAGTGCTCTATATAGAGACTTCAAAACCAACCGACCGGATGGCATAAAAATAGGAGACAGTGCCTACCCTCTCCTACCATGGCAGATGACTACTTTTTTAACAGCAAATACACTGGCGCAGGCACGCTTCAACACTGCTCATTGCGAAGCAAGATGTGCAATTGAGTTGTAAAATTTCTTAAGAGGCGGTTTGCATATACCTTAACTGTGACGCCACAGAATGCATGCAAGATAACCCTTGCTTGTATTGTCCTGTACAACATCGCTATTAAGCGCAATGTCCCTCTCTGTGCAGACAATGATGCACCTGAGACCCTTACCAACCTCTGCATTCTGCGAGGATGAGCAATCAGGACGTACAACGAGGAACGCAATAGTTAGACACTATTTCTGAATATGATTTAATTTGGATTTCAAAAATAAGTGATTGCCATTCTTTACATTATTTTGGTTATTCTGTAATCATTGCATGCATCACTAATAAATATGATAAAAACAAAAATATTTTTCATTGAGATGAATATTTATATTAATTAGTGACAGAATAAAATGTGTTGTTTTTGCTCAATTTTGACCGCTGTTTTGGGGATTATTTTATGAGGCCAAACTCTTTCTACTTTGCAGGCCTATGCTCAAAGGCTGAATGGGTATAAGCCTAATCACTGTGGCCTGATAGATGAACAAATACAATTAAAACCTTATGAATAAATAGGATATATTGTAAGATACTGCATGATCCAAATATAGTGTTATTTGATACATTTTAAAGTTTTCATTACATTTTGGGCATGAAATCCACGCTGAATCCACCCTTCTGATGGAATCAGTTTAATCCAGCTTTTTTGATCAAAGTGATCCAAATCCTACAGAAAAGG